TTCTAATGCTGACTTTCTGTGATTCCTACTCGGTCCCTTGCATAGAGACTCAAAGGGCGCTGTTCCCTTGGCATACAACAGGAAGTTTCAGCTCACCCGGAAGCATCATACCAATCAGCTCTTGACACATTAGGTCTCAAACTGTTGTTGTCCATGGTTTATACAAGATGGTGGCTGCTGGTAACACTTTGGAGATAGAAACTGGTCAAATCAAATACATCTTGACAGACCTAGAGTTGCCTTGGGCAATACATTCTGTGGTTCTAAGGGATTTGTAGATTAAAGTTAGCTCTAAGACAGAGGAGAGAGAATTATCTTCTCTGCCCGGGTAGTTCCAGTCATGTCTAGACAGCTGTGGGACTGCCTTGGCTTCTCAGAAAGGACAAATGGAAAAGGAAGATAAAATTCTAGGATCTCTTTAAGCCATAGGAATTATCTGGAACGTTTCAAGTTCTGGCAAGGTCCTTGGGTCATGACATAGTATCAGATCTGCCAAAACAACATTAAGTCTAGGGAGAGAATCCAGGAATTCAAGGATGTCAATTCTGGCATCGTCTTTAAAGGTTTCGGAGGGCTCTTTGCCATCTCTGATGGCGGTCGTGGCTGTTAATACTACAGAGCAAGATGGCAAAACCACATTCAGGAAGCCAATGCTACTTTCCCTCCACCACCACTGCCACCTCCTGCTGCTTACATTCCAATGAGTTATTTTGATCTCACTGTTTAACAACAACAACAAAAAAGAGAACAACATGAAGGTTTTTGCGTACCTTGTTCAATTGGAGATTTTATTGTTTTTCATTTATCACTGTAAAACCAAGGACAATTTTATGGCTTTTTTTTTAATAGTTGTTACATGTAGGGCAATCTGTCTGTAAGTAGAGATAAATTACTCTAAAAGAAATTAATCCTACATGGTTTCCCCCTCAAGTCAAGTGTCTTGTTTAAATAAACTTGGTAAAGAAAAAAAAAAGAAAGAAAGAGAAAGCCAATGCTAAACAGAAAAGACTTTAACTTTTGTGTGGTTTATTCCCTTTGTCTCAGCCTCAGAGCAAGGAGGCCAAGTCATCCTGGATGGCGTACTGGGGCCTCTGCTTCTGTTGGAGACAAGCCCAGCTGGATTTTTCTTTGCCCAGCAAGAGGACGGCTCCCAGCCAGCAGTCCTCCATCGCCCTCAGCCCCCCACGTCCACTTCTGGACAAGGGTGGGGCTGGCTGTGCAGGTGAGGAGGGATTGAAGAACAATTGAGGACAGACATGAGGCCGTGCTATTTCGATGGGAGTTCTGAGCTCACGGGGGCAGACATGCCCCAGCACTTGGGCCTGCTGAGAGACACACGGCTTCTTGAACCCTACAGCCCCTCTGTAAGAGACTCGGTACACCATTTATAACTGAGGAAATGTAAATTCAGAGAGATGAAGTGACTGGCCGAAGATCACACATTATTAAGTGCCAGGAGTGAAGTTTATTATTATTTTAAATATTTTATTTATTCATGAGAGAGACAGAGACATAGGCAGAGGGAGAAGCAGGTTCCCTGTGGGGAGTCCAATGCGGGACTCGATCCCAGGACCCCAGGATCATCACCTGAACTGAAGGCAGACGCTCAACCACTGAGCCCCCCCAGGTGCCTCCAGGAGTGGAGTTTAAAACCCCCCTTTTGGCTCTAAATCTATTATGTTTGTCCCTATGCCTCATGATCACCAATTTCTAAGAGTCTTCTTCCTACATTCTAGGTCAATCACGCTTTCTCATAGAACAGGAAGATGTTCCAGTGCCAAGTTATTTGAACCAGTCCTCCTTCCCAGAATGTATTACCATAACATTAATTTGTCCAAAAAAAAATATTTATTGGCCACCTATACTGGTTGCTGGGAAAAAGCAAGCAGATAAAAATGTCTGCTTACTATCTAATGGGAGAAGACACCTAATAAATGAAATAAATAAAGCATAGAGTATGCTAGATGGCAGTGGGTGCAGTGGAGAAAAATAAAGCAGGAGAGAGTATTTGTTGGAGAAAGGGCTTACGTGACTATGTGGAAGCATATTCCAGGCAGAGAAGAGTAGGTGCCAAGACCCTGGGGTGGAAGCATGTCCAAATGGTGGCAAAATGAAGGAGGCTGGTGTGGTTGGCAGAGCTTGATCAGGAGAAAGAGGGGCAGATGATTTCAGGGAGTTGTCAGGCATAGCCTGATCATGGGCAGCCTTATAGCCCGCGTAAAGACCTTGGCTTCTAAAACAAGATGGGAAGCGTTTGGATATTTTGTGCAGAATGACATGATTTGTAATGACTTAGATTTTTAAAGTTGTGAAAATAGACCAAACAAGGGAGAAACAGCAGGGAGACTAAATAAAAAGAAAGCTATGGCAACAGCCAAGGAGAAAGATAGCGATGGTTTGGGCCGGGTGGAAGGATGGGGGGAGGAGTTGGATTCTGAAAGTATAGATAAGAACAAACAAGATATGCAGATAAGTAGGGTGTGAGCTGAATCACAGGACAAGTGGAAGGGACAGAGGGCACTGGGCCAGAAGCCTGGGATTCTCAGTGGGGAGTTTCAGCCCATCTCATGTTTACAGTTACCTGAGGAAATTCACTGAAAAATTGGGGCCTCATTTTTCACACATTCCTGATCACACAGGCTCAGATGAATGTGATGTCTGTGCCCGAGTTCATTTGCTCAGAAATGAGTCAGTTTTGGGTGACCTCATGCAAGTTCATCAGCCTGAGCAATCGTGGCAGGGAGACCGAGGTCAGATCTGGAATGTTTTGGGAGCAAATATAAAAACCAAAACCCCAAAAGGAGCATTATAGCTGTTAGAAATTAATTTAGGGAGGTTTCTTTCTCAAAAGTTCAATCTCGTTCTTGGTAGGCTAAGAATGAATAGCCACAGAAGAAAATTTGTTTGTAAAAAATAAAACTGTTTTTGCCAAAGCTTTATGATCTCTAGGTACAATATGTATTTTGTACTCTTTGAACCTGTATTTATAAAATGTTACCTAGTTGGAGATTAATTCATTTTGACACACTCTCAAAATTATCTTCAGTTTTAGTTTTGTGTGAAAAAGGCTTCTTTTGGTTTCCCTTGACTCTGAGGCAGGTTTATTACCACCTTGGAATTTTTCTAAATTTTTACCAGCAAGAGAGCTGTATGATTGAATTATTCTAAGTGACTTAAATGCTTACAACTTCCCCAATCTTACGTAAACACGCAAAGCCCATGCTGCCTCTTTCCAATTCACAAATTCAGAGAAAGCACCCCTAACTGTAACATTCTGGATAAGCGTGGAGCAGTTGGTGAGCTCCTCCTAGGGGTGAAGGGGCAGGAGTTAGAGCAAGACAGGTTTCCAGGTCACCCCTTCCTCCTCCTACCTTCATTGGCTAATACCCTCCCCAATTTTTTCCATCACAACCTACTATTCTAATTCCAAGTATCTTGATATCCTCCAAGGTAACTGATAAGCCATTTCATAAGCCAATTTAATTGAATTACAAGCGTATTTCACAGAAACTGTGTTTTTTTAATAAATTGCAGGTTTGTGGCAATCCTGCCCCTAGCAAGCCTATTGGTGCCATTTTTCCAGAAGCATTTGCTCACCGCATGTCTCTGTGTCACATGTTGGCAATTGTCACAATTTTTCAAACTTCTTCATTATTATTCTATTTGTTAGGTGACCTGTGATCAGTGATTATGAGTCACTGAAAGCTCAGATGATGGTTAGGATTTTTTTAGCAATGAAGTATTTTTTTTTAAGATTTTATTTATTTGAGAGAGAGTGAGAGAGATCATGAGACAGGGGAAGGTAGAGGGAGAAGCAGACTCCCAGCTGAGTGGGGAACCTGATCCTGAGCCTGGGACCCCAGGGTCATGACCTGAGTGAGCTGAAGGCAGATGCTTAACTGACTGGGCCACCCACATACCCCACAATAGAGTATCTTAAAACTAAGGTATGTACATAGGTTTTTTTTTTTAGACATAACATTAATGCACACTTAATAGACTACAGTATACTGTCAACTTAACACTTTATATGCACTGGGAGGCCAAGAAATTCATCTGAGTCATTTTGTTGTGATATTTGCTTTTTTGCAGAGGTCTGGAACCAAACCCACAATATCTCTGAGACACACCTGTATTAGTGATGAAGAAGGACTAGTCCTAGCTCCCTGCCCTGTTCTGATGAAATAATGGAATGCTTAGGCACTGAAAAGATATCTGTTTAATAAGGAGTTTTTTTGGGAGACTCACAAAATCTCCTCATAAGGTGGTCTCCTTCCTTGCATATACTTTAAATCATCCGTCTTTAATATTGTCCCTGAGGCTGTTTCAGAGGGTCTACAAAGTAAAAACTATTATTGTCATCATGCCAATACATCATTTGCCTTTTTTACTCTCATCTTCTCAGAAGTGTGCTGTGGAACTTGCCAGATGCTAGGTGATAGGTAATGTTGACATCACGCTGATGGTGATGCTAACAGGACACATGCTTGTATAGTTTTGTTTTTAAAATTTATAAGCTTTAATTACAAATGTGGTAAATTTGTAGATTTACTTCTCTTTACAAGAAAGCTCCTTGGGGTCCTCAATAATGTGTTTGAGCATGTTCTAAATTTTTTAGAACTGCTGCTTTAGTTATCCCGCCTGATCTGGCAGCTGAGATACCCAGGCAGGGTGGAAGGAAGCTCCTATTAGATTTGAAACTGTGTAACCTAATCAGTTTTTCAAAGGTTGGTATCTAAAAGCAAAATCAAAAGACTATATACAAGGAAGTGCCCCCCAAATGACCAGGTTACGTCAAAAGGACACAGTTACCAACTTGATAGAGCTCCCACTGGCCCGACCGGGGATATCTGATTTGTGACTTTGTGATTTATCAGAAATGTTAGTGGCATCTTTTAGCAGGTGAGAGATAGAGGGGAGGGGAGGGTTTCACCTACAGAGGGAAAATATAAAGATTATCATTAATGTCCACATTTCCCAAAAAAGTATCACAAACCAAGTATTTAGATTTGACATTTATAATCAGTCAGTATCTTAATACAAATATAATAATACAGAATTAAATAACATACGAAAAGCTTACTAAATATACAAATATTCAGTTCAACAGTGAACACAACTTGCGTTTTAGTTCCTAGGTCACTGAGTAGAGACAAAAGGTACTGAAAAAGTCACTAATTTGGTCTTGTGATTAAGAGTTCAAAATTGTAAAAAAAAAAAAAAAAAAAAAAGAGTTCAAAATTGTTTCACTAGTTAGAACAATATATTTAGGACAAAGGCATTTGTAAACCCATACATATTTTCTCTGCTATTATGAGAAGTTAACTCATGGGAAAAGAAGCTAAGAGGGAAAAGCATTTGAATGGACTGTTATTCAGGAAACTTCCTAAATGCTTGTTTTTGTTTTATTATATATTTTCATTATACTAAATTGAGTTCACAATGACTAATATAGAACTCCATCATATTATAAGTCAAATGGAACAGGAAATGCTTTTTTAAAAATGTGAACTGCTGGACCAAGAATACTTCTTCTTCTATATAAGTAGATAAGTCAAGTTAAGGTTGTCAGCGTTAGGGATCCCTGGGTGGCGCAGGGGTTTGGTGCCTGCCTTTGGCCCAGGGCGCGATCCTGGAGACCCGGGATTGAATCCCACATCCAGCTCCCGGTGCATGGAGCCTGCTTCTCCTTCTGCCTGTGTCTCTGCCTCTCTCTCTTTCTCTCTCTGTGACTATCATAAATAAATAAAAATTAAAAAAAATTAAAAAAAAGGTTGTCAGCGTTATTCTGACTAGTAAGTAATGAATTCAGTTCCATAGTCATTGTGGTCAACATCACAGAAGAACATGAAGAACAGCAGTGAAACCAAGGGTTCTAGAAAGACCTGTTACTAACCAGGCAATGAGTTACCTCATAGAGTGACTACCCTCACCAGGTGATGAGGAAACAAGACTCCTGGACCTAAGAACAATATGGAAGAATAGATGGAACAGCAACAGAAAGGTAAAAGGTGGTTTCAGAAAAGTTCTCTGGTCCTTAACACCTTCCTGTGTTCTCCGTTCTTTTTTTTTTTTTCCATTTCTTTATTTCTTTTTCTCCTGGTGTTACATCAATTTTTAGAGCAGAATGGCAAACTATCAGGTCCAGATTTCTAATTTTCTGGATGCAGCTGTGAAGCTCATTGAGCTACAACGATGAACAAAGGGCTGCCATCAGGTAGAGCCTGAGTCAGCCTCTGAGTTGTGGCTACTGATTCAAAATCCAGTATCCTTTCGACAGTACAACGCTGCATTGCTTCACATAATCAAGTCCTACAACAGACTTGAGAGGTAAAATGACTTCCTTTTGGAACTCCCAGAAGCGCTGGGTAGCTTAGATGGCAGTAGAAAATCTTGAAATTCTTAAGTCTTTTACCCCTACCTCTTCTGTTCTTTAGGTCCCTTAGAGAAGACCCTTTTCCTCCTGCCTTCCTCCTGAGTCAGATTCAAGTAGACCAGGGCATAACTTTCTGGGTTCTGAAAACTTTCAGGGTGTGATTCCTCTAGGGCTCTGGATAAAAGAAAGATCAAGATATTAACTTCAAACATTTATAATGCCTATCCTAATACATTTGAGGATAAATAACAGAAAGGTCAGTAAGCATAGAATATACCTGGGCAAAGATAAGGACATTCCTGAACAACGTGATATGGGAGACTGTGACTCTTTCTAAGGACATAGGTAATTCTAGGAAATAATGTTTTGGAGAATCACTTAAGACTACAAGCAAAAAAAAAAAAAAGTCAAAAATATTCCAAATAATCTACACGTGTCTTATTTATAAGACCTTGAGCTTTGTTTCCTGTAGATACGAACTTGCTGGACATTGGGCTGGGAGTGTCACATAGTGGACATATGGAGGGCCTTTCAGGGCTACCAGATTTCTAAGACATAAACTGAAAGGATGTAGACCTCCCCACAAGGCATGTAGTCAATGAAGGAAAAGACCCGGGATTTTTATCTTGGTGCCACCTCTCATTCTCTGTGTAACCTTAAGTAATTCTTTACCAGAAACTGTAATGTTTTAAACCTCCCAAAATTCCAGTATCCACTAATTGTGGTAAAAGACCCAGAACAGCTCAGGCAAGATTGCCCAGGCTTAAGGTTCTGCTAGTAAGTGACTTTGTAATCAGGTCATGACATGATATGACGGATGGCGTCTGCACCCATCCAAGGGTAAACTCTTGTAGAAAAATATGTTGGAACGCAAGATTTCTTCCAGCAATTTGGCCTAAGCAGTTCAATAAAGATTGCCTCACACTTTTCTCATCTAAAGCACCACATTTCAGGACACCTAGGAGGCTCAACAGTTGAACGACTGCCTTCGGCTCAGGGTGTGATCCTGGAGCTCCGGGATCGAGTCCCACATTGGGCTCCCTGCAAGGAGCCTGCTTCTCCCTCTGCCTAAGTCTCTGCCTCTTTCCTTCTGTGTCTCTCATGAATAAATAAATAAAATCTTTTAAAAAATACATTAAATAAGTAAAGCACCACATTTCTTCTGCTTGGAGCTATGAGGAAACTGGGTTAGGGGTGTGGGCTGCCACCCATGCAGCTTGCGTCAGGGAGACATAAGTACACTTATTACGCAAAGATTCTTATTATTTTCGAAACAAATAGTCTTTGTATTGTCCTTCCAACTATTACCAATTTCACCATCACAAGCTATTTATTGGACACTTCTGTTATTTGTTATAGCACTAAGCTTAAAATAGAAGAAAGTGACACGATTCCAACCAGGACATAGAGTTTTAGTAACACTGCCACTGTTACCTCCAAAAGAGCCCATTTACAGTTTACATTATTACAAAGGGAAATGAATGAATTCAGGGTAATTATACAGATGATGAGGGTGAGGAAAAAAAAAACCCTCTGGACACTTGAAGAAAAAGTAAAGTTTGGCATATGCATTTCATATGAGTGTCTAAATTTTCTATTGTTTGCCAATGCTGCCTTGACTCAATCAAACAAAAGAAAACTGGTACTCAAAATAAAAATCTCAAAAATTGAGGTGGTTAACCATCTACTAAGATCTGCCCCCAAAGTGAGGTTAGTTTCTGAGAAGCAAGTGATCACTGGTGGGTTGATTAATGAGAAATCAAAGGCTATTCTCAATTCCAAACTTAACTTCATTGTAGTCTATGTGGAAAGGACAAATTTATGACATCAACTGGGTTTTAATAGAAAGAACTATTATTATAGAATGGTGGAAAATTTCCCTAGGAAATTTTATTTTATTTTTTCACTTTCTATTTTAGTAATAAAGAACTAGATTCATGAAAGAAAAAGAAAATAGGATGTTCTTTGAAGACATATCAACCTATTATCGTACTGTTGTTGTCTCATGGGCGGTAACCATGATGATCCCATCAGGAATGGCACAGAGAGAAACTGCCTCTATCTCATCATAACCTTCCTCCAGCATGTACCTTTACTGGTGAAAAGAACACCACCATTCTCTCTGGCATTAAACAGAATCACAATAAAAAGAGAGTCTACTGTTTCTACAAAAATAACATCACCATTACAGATCACTCCTCTATCCCAAAACTACAAACTTGCTTGTGCTTTTGTGAGCAATGACTAAGGGATTTTGTTCTAAAATAGACTTTGTTGTTGCTGTTCTTATTTATTTAACAAAGAGTCGAACCTTATTTAACTAGATTTGTCTTCCCACTGGCTGGCTTTCTGGAGATGATTCTTTTCTACTTCAGTAAATTCAAGACTTAATTCAGCCACCCTATCCTCATTGTCTATCCATGAATTTTGAACACAGGCACATACACATTCACACACATTCAGTTCCCCTTCTTCACTTCCTTATTTCTAAACACAGTGCCATTTTCCCAGTCACCAGGCTCAGAAACTTGGTGTCATTTTCTATCATGCTTTCCCGTCCATTCAAAAGTTTTATTGTTTGGGTGATGATGGAAAGAAAAAGAGAGGAAAAAAAGAAAACCCAAAGTAAGGTTAGGAATGATAGGAAGCAAATGTCATAGGACCACCCATTTTCATCACAAATTGATAATCAGATTTTGGTAAAGAACCTTAAGGTGTCAATATCTTCTAGGGAAGGGTTTCCTTCCCTTTCTCCTAATTTTTGTATAATTTAAGTTTTGGTCTTGAGTGTTTAAGTCTCCAGTATTACTGGCACTTAGTTTTACTAGCTATTTAAGTATATGGGACCAAATGATCTGGCTGTTTTTTTTTTTTTAAACTAGCAAATTTTTGAAACTAGCAAAAAACTTCAGTCACCCAAAATATGCCATTGAACATCCAATGTGATTAACTAGGTTAGTCGTATGTCATGAAGATATCACCAATAAATGGCAATCCCAGTGCTTGCAAGATTCTATAGAGGTTCAAGTGCTTATTTCATAAATGAGAAAAGCCTGAGAATAAAGAGAGCTGACTCCCTTTGCTTCAGGAACTGGAAAAGACCTTGAACAATTATATTTCCCAGGAAACCCAAGACTTACTTAATGAACAAAGGACAATTATTTTGCAAATGCCCCACTCTAGTGGAATTTACCTTGGACTTGAATAGATTGTATTATTAGATTCTCCTCCAGCAGGGACTTTTTAAGATGAATTTGAACACTTCGTACTTTACTTTTCAAAAGAATATAGCAGTAACAGCAAGCAAGGACTAAAATAAAGGCAGCCCAATAATGCCTTTCAAGTCAGGACTCCAGGGCATCATAGCTGGAAGAACATTCTGGCAGAGGTCAGCAGACCAAAACCAGGGTTCTAGTCCTAAGCCTCTTGTTAACTAGCTGTGTGACCTTAGGGAAGGAAGTCCATTTCCCTCTCTGGCTTCAATTCCTACTTGGAAAAAATGAAATGTTTGGATAAAGTAGAATCAAAGAGCCTTCTGCCTTTGACATTCTGCAGAGCACTAATGAATTCTAGGGCTTATGTTTATATGCAATAAAATGATCTGATCTGTAATCTTCTCCTCCCACAGAACAGATACTTTTATCTACTTTTACAAAGGGGTTGTTGAAACTGAAGATTTGTCACTTTTTTTTTATAAAATCACAAGAATTAATCTGGTGTTTATATAAGGCTTATGCAAAATTAAGTGTTCCAAAAACCTAGAACATGAAAGATAGTTGAAGAGACACAAAATAAAAAGGGAAAAAGGGTAGCAGTTGAGTGAAATTTTTCATAGAAATTTAAAATAACACTCTAAACCAACAGGTTTTTTTTTTCTTCTTCTACAGGAAAAAACTTTCTTATCAGCCTTTCACCCTTGGAAATCCCCACCACAAACACCATAAACTGCAGGTTTCCATTAACTTTAATAAACTATGCACTGCCTTATGAAAACAAAAACATTAATTCTCTCTCTCTCGCTGACTCCTCTTGTTTTAGAGTGTCTCATTTTATACTATCTCCCAATGTTTCAGACTCTGCATTTATGAGATACTGAAATTACAAAAAGAAAAGAATTGAGGGACCCCTGGGTGGCTCAGCGGTTTAGCGCCGCCTTCAGCCCAGGGCGTGATCCTGGAGTCCTGGGATCGAGTCCCACATCGGGCTCCCTGCATGGAGCCTGCTTCTCCCTCTGCCTGTGTCTCTGCATGAATAAATAAAATCTTAAAAAAAAAAAAAAGAATTGAAAGCATCAGTTTGAAAATCTATCCATTCATCCCATGATTCATTCACTATTTTAATTAAACCTTCTTGAACATCTAACATACATAAGACACTGTGATAGACATTGTAGAGACAGAGAAAAATCTATAGTCTATAAGGACAGAATGACATGACATATTTATTTATTTTATTTTGTTTTTTATTTTTTTAAAACATTTTATTTATTTATTCATGAAAGACACACACACACACACACACACAGAGACAGAGAGAGAGAGGCAGAGACACAGACAGAGGGAGAATCAGGCTCCATGCAGGGAGCCCGACGTGGGACTGGATCCCGGGTCTCCAGGATCACACCCTGGGCTGAAGGCGGCGCTAAACCACTGAGCCACCCGGGCGGCCCGACGTGACATATTTATAAGTACAGATCACCTGTATTGCTACCTATAGTGTTTGAGACATAGCAAGAGTATAACGAAGAAAATACTATCTAATTAGTGAATATACTGGACTACCTCAGAGTCTCTTACTGGAGTAGCTGGCCTGAGGAGTGCTATCGATAGAAAAGAGATTGTCCTCGTTAACACGGATTGGAACAAGTGTGTGTACTTGAGACTTCTTTCTCTAGTTTTGCCATCAGCTGCAGTGAGTGGATAAACATTTTCCACATTTCCTCTCATCAACCCTTCCTCTTAATTTACGCATAATTAGCCATGAAATGATCTTAGCAAATGAAAAGCAGAAGCATCCAGCTTAATATCCAACTACAAGAAAATGACCCCCCCCAAAGTGTCCTAAAATACCAGCACACAACAAAACACATTGTTGCCATCCTTACTTACCATCTTCCTGTGTCCCTCCCAAATTGCTATTAAAAAATCATTTGTTTCCTTGTCTGTATGTCCTGTAATAACTCACCTCTGTCCTGGTTCCGACGACGTTTCCAATATAATAAGATTGAGATTAAGACCAGAAGAATTACCAGGGAAACAATACTTAACAACAGCGGAACAGAAAACCAAAAGCCTGTAGATGGTGAAGGGGGGAGAAAAGAGAAACAAAGTCATAAGTGGAAACTGTGAGGCAAAAAGTGATAAAGCAATTCTTGTGATGAGTTTTTCCTTAAGTTGAGCTTTCAATGAAAATTATCCTTGAATATATACCGACTGAGATCTCTGTTAGTGGTTCCACATTATTTCAATAACATCTAGTTAATAATAGTCTAACTACATGTTTTATGTGGTTACTCTCTCATGAGAGCTTTGAACATGTAACTTCATTTAATAGTCAAGACAGCCCAAGAGTTGGGTATTATCACCTCACATATAAAAACAACAACAGAACAAAAAAACTGAGGCCCAGAGAAGCTAAGTAAGCCCCAAATCAGCATCGTAAGTGTTAGAACCAAGGCTTGGTCAGGGATCAGTTTGCCTCCAAAGCACACATTCTTTGCCATACAGTCCATTAAAGTAATATATTTATTGAGGAAGCTGTGGAAAATATAGAGAAATATGAAGGAAAAAACTGTGCATTTCAGGATTCCAACCCCAGGAGTAACTCATCTCAATGTTTTTATTGTATTTCTTCTAATCTATGTCTTTGTTATTAAATCTCTTTCCAACAGTCAATAAATGCGGCTCCTCAGCGTCACTCTGCACTACTAAGGCAGGGGGAGAGTTTCCTGATTCAGGAGTTTCCAGCATCTTCCCCATACTTCTATAAAGGGATTTGCAAATCACAATTCAATGGAGCACCTTCAGACAGAGAGACGTGTCTAACTTCCATACTTCCAGTGCATGATATGCTTGAAGCATCGAAGACTTTCAGTGATGTTCACAGAACAAACATGGGACACCTGGGTGGCTCAGCGGTTGAACATCTGCCTTCAGCTCTGGGTGTGATCCCAGAGTTCTGGGATCAAGTTCCGCATTGGGCTCCCCAGAGGGAGCCTGCTTCTCCCTCTGCCCGTGCCTCTGCCTCTTTCTTTGTGTCTCTCATGAATTAATTAATTAATTAATTAATTAAATCTTTAAAAAGAATTTACAAACTATGGAAGTTGAGTTTGGCATTCTTAGAAAAGAAGACATATTCCTTTTCAGGTTTTTGTTTTCCAAGGAAATTTACCCTCTGCCTTGGCTAAAAATGAGGATCTCTTCACAAATGTCCAAATCTAACCTTGCAAATCTTTTGACTAAATTTACCTAAATGTTGACTTTTTGATTAGTCTGTTTTTTTTCAAGGACACCCCCCCCCCCAAATGACAACTGGAAATGTTCCCTAGAAGCTACACACCAATAAGGCATGCAGGGGAAACTTTTTCTAGGCTTCATTGCTTAAAATGCTCCCTGAAAAAAAAAAAAAAGCACCAATATCTTTTTAGGAGGCTTATTACGGAGAGCCTCACCCAGACCTAGTGCTTCCAAATCACACAGATCAAAACTGTGGCTATTCCAAAAGCATCCTGCCTAAAATTGCCACTCCCTTTAGTTTCCTGCCCACAACACTCATTTCTTGTATCCATGAGGCCCAGAGACAGCAGCTTAAAGAGAAACACAAGAAAGCAAAAGGAGTCTTGCACAGGAGGCAGTCTGTTTCAAAGGGGTGAGGAAGACATCGTCAGGTCAATCCCTTTCTTAAAAGCGCAGTGGCCCCTCTTCCACAGTGTAGATTATGCAAAGCCTTCCTCATAGATGTCACCTCTTCCAGGAAATGCTTGTGGATCCCTCTAGACTGATCTGATGCTCTCCTCCCAAACCCTCAGTCGTCCCGGGGGTGCACCGGTGTGCACCGTAGCTTTATCGCACACAGTGGTATAACTGCCCATTCTGTGCGCCCATTCTGGGATAGGAACTTGTGAGCCCAGGGCCTGAGTATCGCTTACTGTGCCAGTTCAAGAGTCCCAGAGCTTGCGCCAGTAGACACTCTGGAAGTGTCAGCAGCATGGGAAACAACAACAAAAAAATGCATGGGTGGATCTCAGCAGAAGTATTTGGTATGTGGCCAACCTACCACACTTACTGAAGTAAAACTTTCTCAACTCTGTTTTTCTTTCCTTACTTACTCCATTCTCTCCCTCGAGCTCCTCTGCTAAGTGGCCAAGAGGCTTTGCAGAACATTCAGCACCTTCCAGGTGCTGATGGCAGACGCACCCACAGCCATCTTTGCCCACCTTCTCTTACCTTTATCCACAGTCTGCCTGAGGCTGGTCACTGTCCCCAGGTGCAGAACCTGGCAAACCACTTCCTTCCCCACTTGTCTCTTGGGGTCTTTGACGTGGAGGACGCTTGTGACTGATGTGGTCCCATTGGGGTGCAAGAGAACCTCAGTACTGTTTTCAATCCCTGACCCAGCGACCTTCCAAGAGATCACAGGTGCTGGGCGGGCATTGGCAAAACACGTGATATTTAGCTGGTCTTCGAAGAAGTTGTAGTGAAGAAACACTGTGGGCTGTACTGGGACAAAAAAAAAAAAATGATGGTCTACCATGAATTAAGCACCACATGCTCCTCAAAGGCTGAAGGAAGATCTTTACAGAAAGACACTGTGAGGGGGAGGCCTCAAGGGATAAGGTGGCCCATCCAACTTGAACTGGGCCTTCTCGGTTCTTCCTGTGTCTAAGCAATCCTGTGGCCAGAGGGATGGAAACTGGCCTAGTACAACCCTGTAACAAGAAAAATCCTCTCTGTAGTTTGTCTGCAGGGGAATTAGCTCAATGCACAGAGGGTGTCCTTTTTCCCAAACAGTCTAGAGCCTACTTATTCTGTTCTCCTTTTCCATGGGCAAGGCAGCCATCTCTGACTTCTTCTGGGTATCCCTCTCATAGTCTGACAATGGTCCCCAGTCAGCGCTTCCAGACAGGTAGCCTGTGCTTCTCGGAAGTCCCGGGGCAGCTTCAGAACAGAGCCCATGGATGGGCTGCTGCTCAGAGGTGGGCCTTGGTCTGCTTGGAGCTGGACCAGGGAATGAGATGCAATAGAGGAGACTTGAAAAGTCCCCGCTCAGAATTATCTATAGAAAATGTAAATTAGAAATTCTCTGCTGATAACCAGAGAGTCACAGAATGACAGCTGGAAGGACCTTGGGGATCACCTTATGGAGTTAAGAGGAAAAAAATGAGTTTATGAGAAAAGGATATTACGTTAGTTCAGCTGCAACCCTGTTCCCTTTCAAAAGTCCCTTGACTAGCGAAGTCATTATCAGTGTGTACTTTCAATGTGTAGTTTATCTCTGCTAAGCAAATGCAAGCCAGCTTTCCTGTGGTTGCTCTGGAGCCTACAAGATAACTAAAGGGCAGGAGCTAAATGAAAGCCTGGTCTGTGCTTAGAGGTTCAAGAGGCAGGTAGGTGGCAGTGGGCTGGAGGAAATACAGAGCCAAAGGACTGTGGCTTTTTTCCATGAGATTACTAAAGTCACTGGGCTCGAGGGGAAGACAGATAAAAGTGAAGGAAGGCGAGTATGGTTGGCATGGAGACTGGGTGTCAGGGCTGTCTGGTATATCAAGAGATGACTTCCATGAAAGCTCTAAGGTGTGGCTGGAAAGGCTCAGTGTGGAAAAGAACTGGGTTACTAGCCAGAAGACGCAGGGGAGCCTGGTTTTCAGGCAAAAAAATAATACGAAAGGTTATAAGTAAAGGAGGGACAGTAGAAAAGAGAAAGATGAGGGGAAAAAAAGAAGAAAGAAGAAAAGAAAAGGTAACAGATGGGAAGCTAGGGGGGCTAAGTGGTTGAGCGTCTGCCTGTGGCTCAGGGGTCCTAGAATGGAGTCCTGCTTCTCCCTCTGCCTATGTCTCTGACTCTCTCTCTGTGTCTCTCATGAATAAGTAAATAAAATCTCAAAAAATTTTAAAAAGTAACAGAAATGAGTAAAACATGACATAAGAAGAAAAAAGAAAAGTGAAGAGGTAGGAGGAAGGATGAAAGGAAAGAAGGGAAGACTGGAAGGTGGGGAAAGACAAAGAGAGACAAAGTCTCTTTGTCTTCAAAGAGACAAAGAAAACAAAAGAAATAGAGTCAAGAATAAAACCTGAGGTAATATCCCGCAGAGAGGACTCTTCATAGGCAAAATAAGCAAGAGAAACCTTTTTCCAGTGTTGCCATCCCCCCCTCTGCACTCTTGTCTACTGAGCCTCCTCTTACCCATGTCCAATATTCTTGGTGGGCTCGCACTCTCACTTTCACATTCCTGATAACCCTGTCTACATTTCTCTTTTCCCTTCTAAAACACCCATCAGGTGTGCCATGGTCCAAAGTTGCCCCTTTCTCCCACTTCTCAGGTCCCAATCTCAGCTATGTGTCAATTAAAAGTAAAAGAATCTTCTCAAACTAAGCCTCTTGGATTGTAAAAGAATGCTTATTATCCAGTTAAATCCCTAGTTGGCATCAGGTTATGAAGAGCCTCTGCCCTATGTCCCCTTACCAATCCCGAGAGAATTTTGGTGAGACAAAATGAGAGGGACCACCGTAATTGGCTCCAGGTGAGCCCAATCTGGCCAACATGTTAGATCCAAAAGTGGTAAAGCTGTTAGAGATCCCACACATGATCTATCAGATAGATAAACTCTGGTTCAGAGTGGACAGGACTCTTCCAAGTCCACATGATGGCTAATGGCAACGCTAGGTCTGAATCACATCACATTTACGGAGAACCCATCATCCTCACCATGGTACTTAATTTACTCTTGCTGACAACATGATTTCTCAAAGATCCCTCCACGCAGAGATTCAATGTAGCCCCGTGAACTTTCCAAATAACTACAAGCACGGTCATAACAGACATGAAAGGCTAAGCATCTTCTCATGAACCTTTCTGAGGTTAGGATCCTGAAAAACTAGGCCTACCACCACATTCTGAACATTGTGGAGCATAACACGTCTAGACAGAGACAATGTATTCTCGGAGATCCTCACCAGAGAGGGTGAGGCAGGCTGTTCCTGAGATCTTCCCAGAACCAAAAGTGTTGAAGAGGCACTTGTAACACCCTTCATCCTCCAGGGTGGTATTCCAGAAGGTAATGGTTGAGTTCTTGAGCTCCAGCTGGGTGACATTTATCTTGTCCTTGTAGGCAGGCTGGACCACGACCCCATGGTTCTTGCTGAAGGTGACCATGTTTTCCAGGCTCACAGGTTTGACTTTTTGCCATGTCACTATCAAGACTTCCTCGGGATTTTGCAGAGAGCATCTTAAGGAAGCAGGTGTATTCAGCAGCCTTTTTTCGTCTTGGGTCACCACTTACATGGAATCGTAAGAGAACATTTATATTTTAAAATTTAATACATGACATACGTACTTTTCTGATTAAAAAATGCATGTTCAAAGCTCAACATAGAAAAGATAGCGGATAGTGCAAAGAAAATATTTACCTACATCCTTGACGCTGCTAGAGAAATGTAGGTTCAAATATGTTTAGTCAATCTTTAAGAGTAACAAAGTAAAAAACAAAAACAAAAACAAAAATAAAAAACAAGAAAGTAAACTCTCAGTGACTAGAAGTTGTGTGAAGAACCCCTGTAAACTGGAAGTAGGTAGAATGAGGTTGGAGATGAAGACTGCCAGAGAGAATAGAAGCATCACCAAGAGGGCTCATGCCCAGAGGGGTAGAAGCAAGAAAGGGCCCATGGACAATTGGCAGAGTGATTAGTTTAAGTGCAGATGTAGCAGCTCTTCACACTCTACACACACACTCTACAGAGGGGGCAGCGAGAGGGGCGTCTGCCACCAGGAAGCAGTGGTGAACACAGGGACATAAGGAAGAAAAATGTAACAACAAAATATAAAACTATGGGCAACCCGGGTGGCTCAGCGGTTGAGCATCTGCCTTCAGCTCAGGGCGTGATCCTGGAGACCCGGGATCGAGTCTGGAGACCCGGGATCGAGTCCCACATTGGGCTCCCTGAATGGAGCCTGCTTCTCCCTCTGCCTGTGTCTCTGCCTCTCTCTCTGTGTCTCTCATGAATAAGTAAATAAAATCTTTATATATATATATAAACATGAAAATAATATGCTTTAGGAGCCTGCACAGGACCAGATGGCTTTGACAACCAGTAACAGTCTACCCATTCCCACATTTTTACTTAATGCAGTGAAGAATATAAGGCATGATAGTAATTTCTTCCCCCTCCAATGCAGGCTGTTCATACTGATACAACAGATGATTCAGTGGGAAATCTCAATATAATTAGGCAGACATTTGAGAAAGCTGACACAACGAAAGAAGAAAAAACCTCTACAAACCCAAGAACTTCTACCAAATGAATAAAGTTACCATAAATCGATAAACACTTTGACACAAGTAAATGCGATATCTTAAGTGTAAAAAGAAGCCAGCATTGTAAATAGTAGAAAGTAGAGTTGCAGAAAGTGACAAATATAAAATCTTAATGATTTGGCTGACTTAGTAGACTGGACGTCACTGAAGAGTAAACTAAGTAGGAAAAGCAGGTCATGGAATTCTTCCAGAATGTAGCACAAAGAGATAAAGATATGGAAAAAAATTAAAGAAAAATTCAAAGACCTAGGATGTTCCGGCATCAGACCGTTGAGACTTACAAGAAGGCAAAAGGAAGAATGGGAGACAAAAGCACTGTAAGGGACAAAATGTATTTTTCAAAATAATAAAAGGAGCAATCTAAAATAAGATATATTCATTATAAGCCTTTATGTTGGGAAGCCTGGGTGGCTCAGTCAGTTAAGCATCCACCTCTTAATTTTAGCTCAAGTCATGGCCTCAGGGTCATGGGATGGAGCCCCACATTGGGCTCCGGGCTCAGCGAGGAGTCTGCTTGAGATTTCCTTTCCCTCTCCCTGCCATGTTCTCTCTCACTCTCTCTCTCTCAAATAAGTAAATAAATCCTTAAACAAACAAAGGTTTATGTGTCTAACAACCTAAATGAAAAATATAAAAGGCCATAGAATTGCAAAGAAAAAATTTTAAATGCACAATGATAATGGAAGAGTTTTTCGATAGTTTGCTCAGGATTTTCAATTCCATATATTAAAAGATACATATAAAGCAAAAAAGTCAAATATAAGAATGAGAAGATTTGAAAAGTGAGGATTTATACATAAATCGTTACATATATGTTTAGGTTTTATATATGTGTGTGTATATAGGAATGTATTTATAAACTTTTACCCAAAGAGAACATATAATCTTAATAAATATTCCCCTAGATTGAACTTGAAATAGTGTAAGAAAAGCTCTTACCCTATGACCTTGAACACTGTCCGCAACGCAATCAACAAAAAATTTGCATACTTCTTTGAACTCTAACTATACCAGATACCATAGCAAGAAAAATCAATTCCATCAACTACTATAAAAGACAAGGAGATATAATGTCTTAAAATCCATAGAAATTAATAAAGCCATTTTCAGAGGAAAATATTCAATCCTAAGGAAGCAAGAAAGATGGAAAAAATGAATGCACACGTATATCCAAACATCTCACTCCCCCAAAAGATAAAAGGAGTGAATTAACATAGATAAAAGCACAAATTAATGAAATGGTACACAACATGTAGACCTAATCAAAAATACCAAAATCTGTTTGTTTTTTTTTAAGTGAATAACATAGAGAAAACGTTAGCTAGTGTGATTAGAAAAAAAAGAAGCACAAACAAATAAACAATATCCTCTCAATGGCACTTCCACAACGTCAGGGATGAGAAGGTAGGCAGAGCAAGAGATACAAATTGAAGCCACGAGTGCCACGGAAGTATAGTTTTCGGGAGGTGTACTCTTGGTAGATGTGAAAAGTTCTAGAGTCTATACCTGTTGTTGGGGTTTTCTGAAGGTTGAGATTTTGCAGAGCAGAGATTTGAAGAAATTGCTGCTCTTAGAATGGAGAGTAGAAAAGGAACTAGAGCTAGGGTTTTAACTTCTTAGGTGATTGTCCTATTTGACAATGGAAGAAATAATTTAGTGGAAAGTTTACAATTCTTGGATGCTTCTATGGAATTCCATTTAGATCTCCCCCACCCCTCGTTCCCCACCAGTCGGTTGGTAAAGGCTCTGCCGTGGATGGTGTGAAGCCTGCCCTGTCTCTACCCGTGAAGGCTGACGGAGAGCAACATCACATGCAAGATGATAAAAGGTCAGTGGCAAAGTGAGGGGTGGCTTCCCCTGGAACAGAGAAAGGCCTGGCACAATTAGGAAATTCAACAGATAAGTGGACAGCACAGGCATATGCTTTATATAATAGACCGTGAACCTATGTAACCTCTCTATTTCATTATTTTCCATTATTTTCTTTCTGCAAAAGAGGGGTACACCCAATTTAAAGGCTTACTGCCAGCTTATCTTCCAAGAAGGGTATGTTCATCCATCCTCCCCAGGCATTTCCATATCTTTATAAACATAGAGAATTACATTTAGATAATATTTCTTTTCTTTAAATAATATTTCAAACTTATTTGATTTGACAGGTGAAAGACATCTTAATCGAGAAAGACATCTTAATAGAAATGGATTTTTTCATGTCTGGTTTTAGCTATGGAAACAGTTTCTAAATATTCAAAGTGTTTTTCCACTTTGAAAACAAAAAAATGTGGAAAGCAGAAAGAACCACTCCCATTCCTCCAAGCAAATTACATGTTTAAATAATTCACGCAGACAAATGAACTAGCACAGCACAAAACAACAGTAGCCAGATGTCTGTCTCCTCTACAGAAATTATGCTTCCTGAACTCCCGGCAGGGGAACTGGCATCTTTTTACCTTGCGCCCTGCATAGCATCACTGTTGCCAAGAGCCAAATCAGTCCACAGGTAGACAGTTGACAGAAGAGCCTCCTGAACACCTGAAGACAGAAAGCAAAGCACAGAAATGGGCATTTGCATGTGGATCAGAAGCTAAGGAAGCTTCGGTCTCATGGCTACTTGAGGGAAATGCTGCAGATGACGTTTTAACCACCAGATGACTTTGGTTTTGTGGATGCAGAACCAGAGACTATAATGGAAGAAATAAAGGAGTGTGCTCAGATGTGGGAAGAGAAAAGCATGACTCCTCTGTAATGGCAATCCCTAGCAATTTGAGGTCTTGATTTAGGGCCATTATTGTCTAGGGCAAGGCCTCAAAGATGGGGGATGGCTGGGGGAACAAATTGCCCTAAAAACACGGAGAAAACACAGAGGCTACAAATGCTAAAGAGCACCCACTTCCCAAATAATCCACATCTGTTAACATTAAAGACATAATTCAGGGGCAACCACTTTCCAGAAAGATAATGACTGCCTTGACCTTTGCCAAAGTAGATTCCCCTGCAAGTTCTGCAAACTTTATGTGAATCACTCCTTTTAAAAAACAGTAATGTCCAGGGGCGCAGCTGGTTAAGCATCCGACCTTTGCTTTCAGCTCAGGTCAGGATCTCAAGGTCCAGGGATCAAGCCCTGTCTCGGGCTCCGCACTTAGCACAGAGTCTGCTTGAGATTCTCTCTCCCTCTCCCTCTGTCCCTCCCATTTGTGCTCATTCATTCTCTCTCTCTCTAAGTAAATAAATAAATCTTTTTAAAAAGTAGTATTATTTATTTATTTATTTACTTACTTACTTACTTATTTACTTCATTGCTTTATTTTCACGTGTCTGGGCAAAAATCCTTGGTATTCTTACATGGTAACATTTAATGCTATTCTGGGTATCATTTATTACAAAATGAGAGGAAGGGAAGTAGATAAATTAACTTCTCTCTATAGTGGCCCCATGGATCCATTTACTTGGTCTTCGTGCATGTGTTCATGAGGGTAGAGGCAAGAAATAAAACTTTTCCCTATAGTTCTCTATGATAGAGATGTGGAAGAAATGTGGGTTTCTCTGTATTTTTCTTTAACTGAATTTCATATTGCCATTTCAGCTATAGAGGTAGAGACTTCATTTCGGCCAATATCTCATAATCTCTGTCAGTTGAGCCCCTACCACTTCAGCACCTCATAATTGTCCCAATCTCTGGCACTGCATCTCCAGGCTTAGAGGCTCACACATTGCCAAGCCATGGCACAGGGCTACTAACCCTTGGTTGCAACCATCTGTCCACAGTAGAATTCCCTGAGATGGCTGCGTTCCCCTCCAGTCATGTGGTCAATATATCAGTGCTACTATCTTAGGCACTGTATTAAGTGGTTTAAATGTTTAATTCTCATAGTAACCCAATGAAATAACAGTATTTATTTATTTAGCACTTTCTAACATCACTCACTAGTCTTGGGCACATTTGTGCAATTAAACCTTGGGCTTATACAAAGTGTCTTCTCTTACTCTCTTTTGTTTTGATTCCATGCTCCCAGGTCCTCTCTGTGTTAGGCCAAGAAAAAATCTACAAGCTTTCTCTGCCTAGACCCCCATGTATCTACCCATCTCCAATTTATGCTTTCCTTGTCATGATGAGAAGGCCGGTCTCTTCCCACAGTTCCTCCCTCCCCCCCCGCCCCCCCAGGAAAGCAAGGTGCAGGTGTTTTCCGTTCTTGGATTTCAACACCTCCCTGTACGGTTTATTTACCATCCTCCTGAACTCCCTCCCCATTCACAGGGACCAGGCACAGGGCTGCCTTTTCAGAACACAAGATCGTGTCTGAATACAGATTTTATTTAGTCCCTCTTTGCTCTCCCAGCCTAGAAAATACTTATTTCCCTTAGGATCAAGAAAGCTGGTTTCTCCATTCCCTGCATTCTTCCCCTCTGGAATAATGTATGTCCTTGGGTTTTCCAGCATTTAGGCTTTAAGGCTCAAGTGCTCAGGCTCTTGGCTTCTGAAACTAAAAAGCCTTCTTTGGCACTCAAACTCCATGCCATTTTTTTTTTTTAACCATATGCCCCTCTCTCACATGGAAACCCAAATCCTAGCAAAGATGATGAGGAATGCAGAACGGATTGGCTCTCATAGTGAAAATCTGTGTTTTAGGATAACAGAGAAAGCAGATGCACACCTAAACACACTGAGTAGGCTGGGAGCAAAGAATTTTTAAGAAAGAAAAGGACAACACAACGATGGTGGAAGGGAATTAGAAGGAAAGCCTTGCTATTAAATATATACATAATTATTGTGGCTGATGAGCCGGAGTTAGCACAAATACCAGATGTGTGGGCTCCGACAAACGACTTCACCTCTCCAAGATGCAGGCAAAAATAAAATCACCAATCCTTCTGTTAAAAAAGACTAAACAAGACAGCACATGAAATGCGCCCAAGACTAGTGAGTGATGTAAGTAAGTGCTAAATAAATACTATTGTTATTTCATTGGGTTACTATGAGAATTAAGCATTTAACCCACTTAATACAGTGCCTAAGATATAGGAACACTGATATTTGTGAGGTGACCTAAAAAAAAAATAACATTTTCAAAAAAAAAAAAATCCCATTAATCAAATCACGTACAGGGAGTCCAAAATGGAGTAAATGGAGAAATCCAATTCTACCCCTTGCCAAGAGGGCCAGAGTTCCCAGAGGCCTGGTCTTACCTGGCGGCTGGACCCCTGGCAGGTAACTGCTCCTATCCATGCCTCTTCCCCTGAGTTTCTAGGAGCAAATCCTGATCCCATGGCGCGTAGTCGCATGGACTTGGAAAAATTAACCTCTCTGCTTGTTCTCCTTATTTGTAAAATCACAGAAGCATTCCTCCTCTGAAGGATGGTTGGCAAGATTTAGCAGCATCCAGGGCGCAGAGTAAACACAAGCTCCGAGGCCACCCTTCTCCGTTGTTAAGGAAGATACTGAAATAACCCGCCAAGCGGTCTTGCCAAGAAACCATATGTGAAAAAAGAAAACAAAAGCAAACCCGAGGTATTACTCGTATCTGGATTTTAAGCGTCCACTGCTGCCATCCCAGTGGACCGAGATCCTCGTCCGGTCTGCGGCGCGTAAACAGATCCTGAATACACAAAGTGCCTGTGTCGCCTGGATACCCCGGCCTTTAACCCTGACTCCTCTGGTCCCTTTCCCGGCTCCCCGAGCCCAAGGCCCGGAGGATGCGGGAGGCCGGCGCCCCCCGGGCGGAGCGAGCTCCTCGGGCGCCAGGGAGCGCTGGATCCCGCGGTCCCACCTCCGCGGCGGTGCCCGCGGGGACCCGGCGCTGGACCTGCCAGCCGCCCCGCCCCCCCCCCAGCCCCAGGACCCCCGCGAGCCCCGCGCCGCCGGCTCCCGCCACGCCCCCTCACCCCGCTGGCCTCCCTGAGTCCCCCTGCGCCCCCGCTGCCTCCCTGCGCGCTCCCTGCGCCCCCCTGCGCCCCCTCTGCACTCCCTGAGCCCTCCCTGCGCCCCCCCTGCACCCCGTCAGCCCTCCCTGCGCCCCCTCTGCACTCCCTGAGCCCTCCCTGCGCCCCCCCTGCACCCCGTCAGCCCTCCCTGCGCCCACCGCTGCCCTCCCTGCGCCCCCGCTCCCCCCCGTACCCCCGTTACCCCCCCCCTGCGCCCCCCCCCGCCCCAGCGCGCTCCGTCCACGCCGCGCGGCGCTCACCCGCATCCCCGCGGTGGCTCGGGCGGCGCCGCACTGCGGCCGGGGCTGGGAGCCCGAGGGAATTCCTCCGGGAGGCCGGGGCGCGCGGAGGAGGCCCTGTCCCCGCCCCGGGCCCGGCGGGAGCCGCTCCCCCAGCCCCGCCGACCGCCTCCCCGCCGCGCCGCGCCGCAGCCGGCCGCGGGCTCCGCACTTGACTTTCCCACCCCGAAACAGCTGCGGCTCTTAGAGAAACTGAGACAGCGTTGGCAGGAAAATATAGACATGTTTTTCCACTTCCACTCGGCGGGACTGAGGGAGGAAATGGTGGGGTGCGGGGGCCGCGGGCGGAGGGGGGGCGCAGCCGGGCGTCAGCGCCCCGTCGGGCCACCTGCGCCGGGAGGCAGGTGGAGCCGAGGGCAGGTGGAGCCGAGGGCAGGGGGCGCGGTGGGAGGCAGGTGGAGCCGAGGGCAGGGGGTGCCGAGGGCTGGGGGCGCCGCGGGCGGGGGGCGTCTAGGCCAGAGGAGCTGAAACCCAACGGAGGCTTTTAATAGGGGTCTTGGAATTGCGATTGGGGAGCGCGCGTGGTGCGAACCCGGGGGCGCTGTGCTCCTGCAGGGAGAGCTAGGGGCTGGGGGGGAGGTGGTGTCGTGATTCCCTGGGGAGGTGCAGGGGGAGGTGCGGGGGGTCAAGAAAGAGGTGCTCCTCCGGGGGCGCTGAGCGGAGCCGGCTGTGGGCCCCCAGTATGTACTGATGAACTGTACTGTCCTGGGACCCGAACGCCGTCTGCTGCGCTGGGATTGAACCATTTGTGAACTCTGGTCCCTTCTGGCTGCTCCCTGAGTTCGTGAGCTGGGCCGGAGAGTAGCGCGTCAACACGCATTCTCTCTCGTCCACAAGTTTATCCAACTCCACACGGGCGTGTAAGAAATGGAGACTTTTGAGAAATGTTATTCAGTTTCTCCACATGTCACCTACGAAAATAAAAAAAGTTTTGAGGCCGAATTTAACCAATAGACGCTTGCAAAAACAAACAAACAAACAAACAAACAAACCCAAATGTACGTTTATTCTTATCCAGAATCAACTCTTGTACTCAAGCAGTCGGTTCTGTAACGATCTCTTATTTCACTGTGACTGGTTTGGTTTGAATTTTTTCCTTGCTGGGAAGGGTTTCCTTCCACTTGCATTGAGGAAGACGATTCTTCTTATTTTAACAAGTTCCAGAGTTTTTGGCTCTTAGAGAGAGAGGGAAAAAAAAGAAAGAAAGAAAGAAAGAAAGAAAGAAAGAAAGAAAGAAAGAAAGAAAGAAAGAAAGAAAGAAAGAAAGAAAGAAAGAAAGAAAGAGAGAAAGAAGGAAAGAAAAAGAAAGAAATATATGAATTGTTCATCTCCTGAAGTCTTTCTGTTTTTCTACCACCACCTTTGGACAAGGTCATGGGGAAGAGCTTTAAATTAGGCATCCAGGGGGCCATAAATCTGAGGGCTGTAAATTATGGTGTAATGATTGGATCTTTCCAGACAGAAACCTTGATGGGGGAACAGGGCTAGCTGAGGACAAAGCACAGCTGATAGCCCACAAACGACCTGCACCCAGGATGGGATATGTGTGACATTCCTCAGGAAGCTTCTAGTTGTCTTAATGCCTTGCTAGGGAGAAAAACAATCTTTAACTTGACAATGGCAAGGCCTCCAGTATTTTGTAGGTTCTCCTTAGCATGTGAGAATCCTTTTGAAATCTCCCTTCTCTTTACCTCCCCCAACTCTCCCACCCCTCACAATCCCAACCCCCCCGGGGCAGCAGCTCTTCCTGCCCACAGGTCCTGTCACCATACTTTAATAAAACCACCATTTTGCACCAAAGACTGCCAAACAATTTTTCTTGGTCATCGGCTCTGGACCTCACCTATGTTCCAAAATGTCATCAACATGACTACACAAGTAATCAGGAAGATTTAATCAAAAGATTAAATGACTTACAGATTGCCCAACAGGATACATAAACATAAATCGATTTACAGACATAGTATAGTGACATTAAGAAGATCAAATTAAGAAAATCAAGGAGAAAATTCTAAAAACTTCAAAAACGAAGAGAGACACAAAGGAAGGAGGATCAAAGTGACATTAACTGTCATAAGACATCGCCAGGTGCAAGACGCAATACGTTAATTTTCATATTGAAGAAAAATAACTTCCACTTCATCTTTTATAAACATTGCTACATGAGTATATTTAATTTTTTAATCAAATGTATCATTTGTAGAGGAGCATGCAAACATCACAAGTATACAGCTTGAAGTGTCACTGAGTAAACATACTTACATAGCCAGAAGCACATTAAAAGCTGCACATTACCAGCTCTCCAGAACCTGTCACTACCACCACCACCACCCACCACTCACCCCTGGCTCTGCCCACTATCCTACTTTTTTTTTTTAAAGGTTTTATCTATTCCTGAGAGACACACACACAGAGAAAGAGAGGCAGAGACACAGGCAGAGGGAGAAGCAGGCTCCAAGCGGGGAGCCCGATGTGGGACTCGATCCACGAACCCCAGGATCATGACCGGGCTCCCGGTGCATGGAGCCTGCTTCTCCCTCTGCCTGTGTCTCTGCCTCTCTCTCTCACTGTGTGCCTATCATAAATAAATTAAAAAAAAAAAAAAACTCCTAGAAGAACACATTGAAAAGAAGTTTCACGAGGTTAGTCTTGACAATGATTTCATGGCTATAACAACAAAAAGTACAGACAACAAAAGCACAAACAGACAAATGGAACTATATCAAGCTAAAAAGCTACTGCAAGGCAAAGGAAACAATAGACTGAAAGGGCAGCCTACAGAATGGGCGGATCTTTTCAGGAATCCTTCAAGGGCCTAAAAATGCATCACAGGCATGCAAATATTGGTTTCTCACTATTATTAATGAATCTAAGACTGTATCCTATTTGTATGAATTCGAGCAATGGAACAGGAAAGATTACTCATATCCACGGGCAAGTACCTGCCAGGTAGCCAACGACTTGTGGTTGTTCTCAGGATTCATTTCCATAATCTTAAAGGTTTTGACTCAAGCTGGAAGTGCTTGTGGCCCCCCAGCCCTTGCAGATGGTTCATTGTCCTGAGCCTCCGTGTCGTACTTCTTTCACTTACAGCCACATCACCTGGCCTAATGAGTAGTTTCTAAAAGTAGCTTTCATTTCTTTTAGGGCATGTTCCCAAGTATGTCTTTACCTTAATCAGTGCTAGTGAAAAAAGATAACTTGACCTCTGGTGGAAGAGATTTTTCACAGCTAAAGACATAAACTGAAGTCCCATTGAAAAGGGTAGGAAGGGCAGAGATGCAGCCAGGAGCCAAACTTCCAGCACGGGGGACCTGACAGAAGGGATGAAGGGATATCACAGGTGGGGAGTCCCCCCCGAGGAGCAAGGGGACCAAGCATCAAATCAGGCACCCCGGGCTATGATACAGGGAAGGGAAGATGAAGTCTCATAATGATGTGGGAAACAAAGGCAAAAGAATTGTAGCATGGGGCGCCTGGGTGGCTCAGAGATTGAGCGTCTGCCTTTGGCTCAGGGCGTGATCCCAGAGTCCCAGGATCAAGTCCCACGTTGGGTTCCCTGCATGGAGCCTGCTTCTCCCTCTGCCTATGTCTCTGCCTCTCTCTCTCTGTGTCTCTCATGAATAAATAAATAAAATCTAAAAAAAAAAAAAAAAAAGAATTGTAGCTTAAATTAGAATCTCCCTATACTTTGCAGCCCACTGATAGATCCCTGAAATATGCAGTGTGACCTTCCTCCAGGAACTCATGGGTGCCTTAGTGGTTTAATATTTAAAAGTAATCTTATCTTGCCAGGAGATGGCCCCTCAAGGTCCTGAAAGCCTTGCTTCCAGATTCCTTGGAGACTTGAGCTATCCCTAACCCCCACTAATTAAAAACAATACAGTCACTTCACACAATCCCAATACAGCTCCTTCTGCCCACAGGTTCTGTCCTGTGAGCAGGCAAGGGGTTAATGTCTAGGCAGGAGAGGCTGGAGGCCGACCCGGCTCCAAAACTATCTTAGCAGGTGGAGACGCTGAAATGGAGCAGAACAAGAGATAAGGGGAAAACCAAGACCGGTACAGGAATCTCAAGGCCACAAGCTTCCCAGTTTTCAACAAAAGATTGCCACTAACAGCCCTCCATGGCAAACCATTCAGATCCCCTCCCACTCTAGAGAGCTTTTTCCTTTCTTTTCTGCTCTCATCTTCACTTAATAAACTTTCACTTCACTTCACGCTTTGGTGTCCAATGAGATTCATTCTTCAACTCCATGAGACAAGAACCCTGCAATCTGGCAACAGTAACATCTGGCTTTAAAAATCAGCAGGGCAGGGACTCATGGGTGGCTTAGAACTTGAGCTTCTGCCTTTGGCTCTGGGTGCAATCCAGGGTCTGAGGATCTAGCCCCTCCTTGGGCTCCCTGCAGGGAGCCTGCTTCTCCTTCTGTCTGTGTCTCTGCCTCTCTATCTGTGTATCTCATGAATAAAAAAATAAAATCTTAAAAAAAAATCAGCAGGGCATAACTCCAGGAGCTTTGAAAATCTGTAGGGCTTAATTTTGGGAGATAGGAAATTGAGATTCTTAAAAGGCCAGCACACTCTATCACCCTGTCTGAGACCCAGCACAGAAGCAGCAGTTTGAAAAGCACTTGGGTTATCCATGAAGGAGGTTCATTGGCTAACTTTAGCGTGTCTGTGATTTAGTATTGTTAATTGATATTTATATTGATGCATATATGTCAATCACATCTTTATTCACTCATATATGTAATGGAATATATCCATTATAATTGTTTTTAAGATTTTATTTATTTGACAGAGAGGGCAAGCAATAGAACAGCAGAGGGAGAGAGAGAAGCAGGCTCCTTGCTGAGCAGGGAGCTGGATGCAGTTTCCATCTCAAAACTCTGGGATCCTGACCAGAGTTGAAGGCAGATGCTTAACAACTGAGCCACTCAGATGCCTCGATTATTATTTTGTATATATGGAATATTATATATTATTATCATATATGTTATATATATGGAATATTATTATCCATTCATATATGTAATAGAATATTACTCAGCCATAAAACATAGAAAATAATGAAATCTTGCCATTCACAACATGGATGGACCTAGAGGTTATTATTCTAAGTGACATAAGTCAGACCCGAGAAAGACAAATACCATATGATTTCAGTTATATGTGGAATCTAAAAAACAAATCAAACTAACAAACGAGCCAACCAACAAAACCCAGAAAGATTCATAAATACAGAGATCAAAGTGATGGTACCCGAGGGGAAGGGTGTGGGGGAATGGGCAAAATAAGTGAAGGGGATTAAGAAGTACAAAATTCCAGGTACAAAATAATTAAGTCACAAAGATGAAAAGAAAAGCATAGAGAATAGTCAAGGATATGGTAACTTTATGATGATAGATGGTAGCTATATTTATTGTGGTAAATATATGTAATATATAGAACCGTCAAATCACCACGTTGTACACCTGAAACTAATATATAATATTGTGTGTCAACTGTACTCTGATTCAAAAAAAACTTGTTAATAATAGAATAGAAACAAACAAAACAAAACAAACAAGAAACAAAAGACAAAACATATATTGATGAGGATGTGGAGAAATTGGAACTCTTGTCTGCTATTGGTGGGGGATGCAAAATGGTAAGACCACTGTGGAAAACAGTATGGAGACTTCTTTAAAAAATAAAAATAGAATTATATATGACACAATCCCACTTCTGGATATTTATGGAAAAGAATTGAAATCAAAGAGATATTAGTACTTCCATGTTCATTGCAGCACTATGCACAATAGCCAAGATGTGGAAACAACCTAAATGTCAAATGGATAAAGAAAATGTGGTCTATACGTACAATAGAATACTATTTAGCCTTAAGAAGAAGGCAATTCTGTAATAGGTGGCAATATAGATGAAGCTCAAAGGCATTATGCTAAGTGAAATAAGCTAGTCACAGAAAGACAAATGTTTCAAGATTTCACCTATATGACATATCTAAAATAGTCAACTTCGTAGACTCCAAGAGTGAAGCAATGGTCTCCAGGGACTGAGGAGAGGGAGAAATGGGGAGCTACTAACCAACAGGCAGAAGTTAAGCAATGTGAATAAGTTCTAGAGATCTGCTGTACCACGCTGTACCTATAATCAACAATACTATATTGCATGCTTAAAATTTTTGTTAGGAGGGTAGATCTTATACTAAATGTTCTTACTACAATAAAAAATTTGTTTAAAATTAGGAAAAAAAATAACAATTGGCATAAAAATTCGTAATTTAATAAGCCAGTAATGTTGAAAGGAACTAAGCTGAAATCAAAGAATTCCCCTGACAAAAACCCCCCAGACCCAGATAATTGTGAAGGAATAGAAATACCCATCTTATATACATGTTCCTAAATGGAGAACTACTAAAAGATTAAGTAATTTCTCTAAGGCTAGTGTCAATTTCAAAACCTTAATTTGAAAATTTTATTTCAGAGCTGGGGAAAGATAATTCAAAGAAATGAAAATTATTATCCTGTTTTATTTAAAATATAAGCAAGAAAATAGTCCTAAAATAGTCTGTCAATGTAGTTTATCATATTAATGGACTACTATGGAAACTTCATATGACTATCTTAACAGATAGAAAAATATTACTTCTTAAGTTCAACAGTCTGTATATGATAAATGATAGAAAATAGAAATATTAAAACATTTTCTAAACTCGACAATATGCTTAATAGCCAAATACCACAGAAAATATTATATTTAGTGAAATTTTAAAACAGTCTTTCATTTCAGAAAAGCAAGACAAAGGTAATTGGTGCTATTGAATATAAACAAGACATATAAGGATTAGAAAGAAAGAAGCAAAAATGTCACTGAGTGTACAAGAGATGATTGTCTACATGGAAAACTTTTAGATAAACAGAAAAACTTTGAATTAATAAAGAGTTTGGCAAGGTTTCCAAATACAGGTTAACCTAAAAAATCCAGAACTGTTCCTAAATCACTAATAACAACCTAGAAAATTTCATTAAAAAATAAAATCCCATTCATTATAGTGAACAAAGTAAAAGTACCAAGGAATTGATTTAACAGAAAGTACACAAAACCTACTGAGAAAAAATTTTAAAATTTTTGAATAAATGGAGTAAACTACACTGTAAAGATATCAATGCTCTCTAAATTAAATTAATCTATTAATTCAATGTAAGATGAATTAAAATTCCGCTGTATTTTTTTTAAAGCATAAACTTATTTCATGGTGTGTATGTGCATGTGTGTGAATCCCTGAATAGATACACCTTTAAAAAACACAAAAGGAGATCTCTCCCTACCACATTTTTTTTTTTTAAATTTTTTTTTTTATTTATTTACGATAGTCATACAGAGAGAGAGAGAGAGGCAGAGACACAGGCAGAGGGAGAAGCAGGCTCCATGCACCGGGAGCCCGACATGGGATTCGATCCTGGGTCTCCAGGATCGCGCCCTGGGCCAAAGGCAGGCGCCAAACCGCTGCGCCACCCAGGGATCCCTCCCTACCACATTTTAACATAACAAAAGAAATAACAATAAAAACTATAGACAATCATGAATAAATAAAAAATTAAATAGTGGGACAAAACTCTCCTTGACAGAGCTGAAAACAGAGCTCATCAATAAGGAAAGGACAGATTGTATAGTAGCCGATGTTAGGAAATCTGGCTCTTTGTATGATGAAATGACAATATATGCCATTCCTACATTATGGTCAAAGGTTAAAAGACCTAAATATGAAATAGAAAAATATGAAGCTAATAGATATTATTATATTTTTGTGAACTTACATGGATGATCACTTCTTAAAAAGGTCCCCAAACTCAAACTGTTAGGTGAAAAATGGATGGGTTTAACAACATTAAAGCATTAAATATTTCTTTCTTTTTTTTTTTGCATTAAAGATTTCTGTTCTTTTGATGATATAACTGAGAAATTTAATAGAGTGGTGCCAAATGGGTAGGAGCAATCACTATCTTGTACTACATAAAGAATCTAGAATATAGGGGCACCTCGGTGGCTAAGTGGTTGAGCGCCTGCCTTTGGCTCAGGGCATGATCCCAGGGTTCTGGAATCAAGTCCACATCAGGCTCCCTACAGGGAGCCTGCTTCTCCCTCTATTGCTGAACCTCTCTCTCTCTGTGACTCTCACGAATAAATAAATAAAATCTTTTTAAAAATCTAGACTATAAAGAATTTCTGTAAATACAGACAACCAATCAGAAATTACATGAAGATAAAGACAAGAACCCCACAAAGGGGAAGCCCGAATGGCTAAGAAATATATGAAGACATGCTCATACTTATTAATACTCAGAAAACAAACAAACAAAAATAACCCAATTCAGGAGGCGTCCTGGATTAGGGAATGAATAGAAACATTCAAAGTCATTAATATTAATACAACTTCACTTGAACCCACTAGTTCATGAAACTGAATTACATAAACAAATCCTTGTTTCCATTTATTTTTAAAATGGTAATTGCTGCTACCAAATGGATAATTTAACATGGAAGGTTTAGTCTTAAATTTGAATTATGTGCAATGTAAGCAAAAGTCACATACCTGCCAATTACACGTGTACAGAAACAGAGTGTCTCATTAAGGATTGCTCTGCAGGCTGTCTCAGCTGAGGTATAGTTTCAAGAGCATTCTCTGACCTACAGGTATGAAGAAATTGACAGATCCATAAAATGAAGATAGACCAAACACTCCCCCTAATGGCAGTAGATTTTAAAAGTATGCTATGAATAAAAAATTGGGAGATTCAGATCTCTTTAGAGATTGATCAAAATATCTTTTCGATGCTTAGTTCAGCATAAAAATACTCCACTAACAAAACTTGCAGGTTATTTCTACCCTATAATAGTGAAAGTCATAATTTATGATTTGTCTTGTTGAAGAACATATCCACTGCACTCTCAAATTTGTACCTCTGGTCTCATCTGCTCTATATATTCCAGATTCAAATATAATTGACATATTCTCTTGGATGTCAAATAGGCATTTAAAAATTAACTTGTTCAAAATAGAACGCTTGATCTTCCCTCAAAATTTGTTCTAATTTTCCCCATTTATAAAAGGTTTCTTTAATCTATGCCAAAATGTTTAGAATCACCAAGATAATTTCCCTCTTATCCCCGTTATCTACATGTATCCAGTGCAAATCTTGTCATCTTAAACCTATCCCTAATCCCTCAATTCCCACTACTACCACCCCAATCCAGGCCACTAATGATTCCCATCTTGACTATGGCAATCACCTCTTTAAAACGCTCCTTTCATTCATTCTTGAATTCTAAGAAACTTTGTTCACATTCCAGTGAGAGAGATCTTTTTAAAGTGTAAATAAAAAAAAAGTGTAAATTAGGTCTTTACACCTCCTTGGTTTAAATACTTCGATGGATTAGTACTGCACATGCCTTTCAAGGTCCGAGGGCCTTAGCCATTCTAAACCCCATCTCTATTTTTTAATCATTGCTCTATGTACACTGACTTCATTTTGTCTTGGGACACATCAAGCTCATTCCCACCCAGGACCTATAATAACTCTTCTTTTTTTGTCTGGAATACTCTTCGTTGAGAACTTCAGATTCCAGTTTAAAATGTCAACTCCTCAGAGAGACCATTCAATATAAACTAGTCCCATAGCCTCTTTCAATTAGATCACTCTGCCTTATTTTCTAAATCTATTTTATAAATTTTCTATTATTTTCTAAATAAATAGTGCATATCACCACCCAGTGTTCTCTTGTTTCCCTTTAACTTTTCATTGGTTACCTCTCCCTACTGAAGCATAAACTTCTAAAACTTGTCTGTTTTAATTGCGTCTCGGTTGCCCTCACTGAGAATTATGAAGAGCAATATATAGGCACTCAAGAAGTATTTATCAAAGAGATATTTTACTATATTAGTCCTATAAAGTATGACCACTTTCATCTTACTGTGGTTTTGTGAGGTTGATTTATCTCAAGCTTCCAATCTCAGGCTTTTTTACCACCCAGCGGATCACCTCCCACCAGTCATCTGAAGTCCATATGCTCTCTTCTTCAAAATCTGTTCTAAAAAAAGAATCTTAAGCTCAATTTACCGTAAGTATAAATTACTAATAGCCCAAGTAGGGTATCATTTGAACAAAGAGAAACCCTTGACTGGAAAAATTACTAAGTACACAGAAAAGAGTTTTCCATCATCATCCTTTCCATGATGAATTTTGCCAAAGCCCTTGAAATTTCTTTTCTTATATTTAAAACTAACCCTATTTGACCCACCTTCCCTATCATAGACAGATAGTAATACAACTTACTTTTTCTTTCTCTGAACAAGATGGAAAATGATAAACAAAATACATAGCAAAATGATGAATGTACCAACTATCCACAACCAAATATACGAACCAGAAGTACCTGAAAGACACAAACCAGAAACATGGTCTTTGTGACTATACTTCATTTCCATACATTGGACTGTCATTTTGGTACTTTAAACCTGCAATGCTCTTTTGTTGTTTTTTTTGGGGGGGGGGCGGTTTAAGATTTTATTTATTTATTCATGAGAGTCATAGACTGAGAGAGAGAGGCAGAGACACAGGCAGAGGGAGAAACAGACTCCACGCAGGAGCCCGATGTGGGACTCAATCCTGGATCCTGGGATCATGCCCTGAACCAAAGGTAGACACTCAACCACTGAGCCATCCAGGTGTCCCTACAATGCTCTTTTGATTTGCCATTGCTTTGTTGACTTTCAAATTGATACTATGAGATTATTTGCCATAGTCAATTTTATAAAAGACTGTACTAATGCATATTTAAATTGAAGACAGATAATATTTAATACCATTTTACCACTCTCAAAAATAAGAAAAAAAGATACAAAAAAATAAAAAATAAAAAAGATATAACCACTCAAATATTCAATGCAAGATAATGTTTAAGAAAAATGTAAAAAAAAAAAAGAAAAATGTAATGTAGTCATGATGAAATATTACTCGATTACTAAAATGGAATTTTCAAAGAATCTGCAAAAAACTCAAAATAAATTGGTAATGATAAGTTAGTAGTTAAGATTAGTGTGTTAAGCAATGTGATAAGCATCTTATAAGGGTTATTTATATCAGCTAAGTGAGTATGATTATTAGGTACAGATGCGAAAACAAAGACTGATTTTAAGAAAATTGCCCAAAGATACATAGTGATTAAGTGGCAAAATTGGGAAGCAAATTCAGTTCTGTCTGGTTCTAGAGACTGCAGTCTTTTTTTTCTTTTTATTATTTATTCATGAGAGACAGAGAATGAGAGAGAGAGAGAGAGAGAGAGAGAGAGAGAGAGAGAGAGAGGCAGAGACACAGGCAGAGGGAGAAGCAGGCCCCATGCAGGGAGACGACATGGGACTGGATCCCGGGTCTCCAGGAACACACCCCGGTCCGAAGGCAGTGCTAAACCGCTGAGCCACCCAGGCTGCCCCTAGAGCCTGCAGTCTTATGGAAAGAAACATATTATGTCAACACTGTATAGTAGGTATTTTGACCACAGTGTTCCTAAATTGTATTACAAATCCACTTCTTGGGATCCCTGGGTGGCGCAGCGGTTTAGCCCCTGCCTTTGGCCCAGGGCGCGATCCTGGAGACCCGGGATCGAATCCCACGTCAGGCTCTCGGTGCATGGAGCCTGCTTCTCCCTCTGCCTATGTCTCTGCCTCTCTCTCTCTGACTATCATAAATAAATAAATAAATAAAATAAAAATTAAAAAAAAAAACAAATCCACTTCTTTCTGCATAATCTTCTGAATATAATTTACATTTTTCATTGTAACATAAGTTTAACCAAAGGTCATCGTGATCATCGATGCTGGTTCTTAGGTATAACATAAAAGTGAACCACTACACTTTGTGAATGGACCTTAAGGAAATTTGCACTTATATTAAATAGCATGAATTATTGTGCATTTTATATTCTTAGGTCTGCTTGTGGTAGACTTTGGGGTCCTCTATCTGATTGAGGTTATTTTTCTGCTCATTGTAACAGCTTACCTCTTTTTAATTCGCAGCTTTGAATTTTTCATTACCACTGAAGAGAAATTCTTGCTAGCAATTATTTCTTTCCTGATGCTATTAGGGAAATCCATGTGAGAAACTTTGTGCTATTTGTTTTTGACTGTTCAGGTAACACCTTGTTGCAGTTTTTTATTTTAACTATGTTCTTTTTCAGTGGGATATTATACAGCTTATTCAAAATGGGCAAAGGAGGCTGAATGGGCCTAAAATGTGAACAGAGCCCTAAGTCAGCAATAATAAAGCATGGGAATTAAGGCTTATAGAAGATTTCAGTAGTGGGGTGCTTGGGTGGTTTAGTGGTTGACCTTCTGCCTCTGGCCCAGGTAGTGATCCCAGGGTCCTGGGATCAAGTCTCACATCAGGCTCCCGGCAGGGCATGTCCTTCTGCCTATGACTCTGCCTCCCTTTCTGTGTCTCTCATGAATAAGTAAATAAAATCTTAAAAAATAAAAAAGATTTCAGAGTCAGGAATCTATATCCCTAATATTTGTTGCAAAGCTAAGCAAGGAAGAATTACCTTCTAAATTCATAAGTTACTTCTTTATAGACATTTGTAGCTCAATAAGAAGTGAAATTAACCATAATAATTCAGCCAATAGACTGAAGGGAGATACAATGGGCATGTTCCAATCTCATGATTTGGGGAATTTTTCCAGGAAAAAGAAGCTGATTAATTTCACTTTCAAGAAACACAGGAATATTTACCTCTACTCCTTTCTAAGACTTCATTAAAATGATAGTAACAAAAGTAAAATGATTAAGTGAAAAACAGCAAACAGAAAAGTGATCTTTACTGGCAAGAGATTTAAACAAATTTACAAAAGATGTAAAGTGGATAGAGGAATGGCTTATGAAGGTGTAGGATGAGAGAAGCTGCAGGTTTCATGTATGCACAAAGAGGCCTACACCTGCAGGGACAGCTCTGCAGAACCTGGAGAGCATTAGAACTCAGATGACAAAAGAAGGAGGGGTGAATGTGAGAATGAAACTTACAGTCAAAAGCACCCATTTCCATATCTGAAGTCACAATGCTGGAGAGGCAGGTGTGCTTACCCCTCAGCCAAGAAAGAGAGAGAGAGAGAGAGAGAGAGAGAGAGAGAGAGAGAGAGAAGAAAGGGGCAGTTAAGGAATTTAACGAATATACTGGAAATAACTAGAGTAGGAGGTCAGAAGCCCAAAGTACAGTCCTCTACATTCTGGCTTTTGGAGTCTCCTGGGTAACAGCTGCCTGCTTTCTACAATCAAAAATCTTTCTTTACAAAATGCAATAAACCAAATAATATTCTGTAATTCTCCAGTCAGGGCTCACTAGGCTTTGAATAAAGCATGAAATCAAAGTGAGAAAGACTAAGTAAAAGAAACATAAAATTAAAATGGTGGGGAGCACCTGGCTGGCTCAGTCAGTAAAGCATGTGACTCTTAATCTCAGGGTTGTGAGTTCAAGCCCCTGTTGGGCATGGAGCCTACTGAAAACAATCAATCAATCAATCAATCAATCAATCAATAAGGTGGTAGTGAGTTGGCGGGGGGGGGCGGGCGGGGGGATAATAGGAGATAATTAAAGAAACAGAAGATAATTACAACACTTCTATTTTTTTTAGATTTTTTTTTATTTATTAATGAGAGACACACACTGAGAGAGAGAGAGGCAGAGACACAGGAAGAGGGAGAAGCAGGCTCCCTGCAAGGAGCCTGTTGCAGAACTCGATTCCAGACCCCAGGATCACACCCTGAGCTAAAGGCAGACACTCAACTGCTGAGCCACCAAGGCATCCCAATTACAACTACTTCTAAATTATTATTCTCAGATAAATTTGACAAGATAATTGATTTTTTTAAAGTAGGAAAAACAGGGCATGAAAAAAATTAAATGAACTTTAATTTGTAAAATTAATCTTAAATTGTAAAAGCAGTTCAAAATTATAAACCTGATTGTCAAAAGAAGGAAAAATTGAATGAAAGCAGTTAAAGATAACTTTTTAAAATCTCTGTGATATTATGAAAAAAGAGGTATATTTCTTAAAAGAAGAAAATAAAATTCAATTGAAATGTATTAATGCCCACTTAATTGAGGTTTATATATTTTTATGTATATTTTTTAGTGGAGTGCAATTTGCCAACATATAGTATAACACCCAGTGCTCATCCTGTCAAGCGCCCCCCTCAGTGCCTATGATCCAGTCACCCCATCATAGGCACCTGCCCACCTCCCCTTCCAGTACCCTTCCTTCGTTTCTCAGAGTTAGGACTCTCATGTTTTGTCTCCCTCTCTGGTTTTTCCCACTCATTTTCTCTTTTTCCCCTATAATCCCTTTCACTATTTTTTTATATTCCCCATATGAGTGAAACCATATAATGATTGTCCTCTGATTGACTACTTCACTCAGCATAATACCTTCCAGTTCCATCCACGTCGAAGCAAATGGTGGGTATTTGTCCTTTCTAATGGCTGAGGAATATTCCATTGCATACATAGATCACATCTTCTTTATCCATTCATCTTTCGATGGACACCGAGGCTCCTTCCACAGTTTGGCTATTGTGGACATTGCTGCTATAAACATTGGGGTGCAGGTGTCTCGGTGTTTCATTGAGTCTGTATCTTTGGGGTATATGCCCAGCAGTGCAATTGCTGGGTCGTAGGGCAGGTCTATTTTTAACTCTTTGAGGAACCTCCACAGTTTTCCAGAGTGGCTGCACCAGTTCACATTCCCACCAACAGTGCAAGAGGGTTCCCTTTTCTCCGCATCCTCTCCAACATTTGTGGTTTCCTGCCTTGTTAATTTTCCCCATTCTCACTGGTGTGAGGTGGTATCTCATTGTGGTTTTGATTTGTATTTCCCTGATGGCAAGTGATGCGGAGCATTTTCTCATGTGCTTGTTGGCCACGTGTATGTTTTCTTTGGTGAAATTTCTGTTCATGTCTATTGCCCATTTCATGATTGGATTGTTTGTTTCTTTGCTGTTGAGTTTAATAAGTTCTTTATAGATCTTGGATACTAGCCCTTTATCTGATATGTCATTTACAAAAATATCTTCTCCCATTCTGTAGGTTGTCTTTTAGTTTTGTGGACTGTTTCTTTTGCTGCCCAGAAACTTTTTATCTTGATTAAGTTCCAATAGTTCATTTTTACTTTTGTTTCCCTTGCCTTTATAGATGTATCTTGCAAGAAGTTGCTGTGGCTGAGTTCAAAAAGGGTGTTGCCTGTTTTCTCCTCTAGGATTTTTTTAAAGATTTTATTTATTTATTCATGAACACAGAGAGAGAGAGGAACAGACATAGGCAGAGGGAGCAACAGGCTTCCATGCAGGGAGCCCAATGCGGGACTCGATCCCAGGACTCCAGGATCATATCCTGGGCCGAGGGCAGTGCTAAACCACTGAGCCACCCGGGATGCTCACTCCTCTAGGATTTTGATGGGTTCATGTCTCACATTTAGATCTTTCATCCATTTTGAGTTTATCTTTCTGTCTGGTGTAAGAGAATGGTGTAGTTTCATTCTTCTGCACGTGGCTGTCCAATTTTCCCAGCACCATTTATTGAAGAGACTGTCCTTTTTCCAGTGGATAGTTTTTCCTGTTTTGTCGAATATTAATTGACCATAGAGTTGAGGGCCCATTTTTGGATTCTCTATTCTGTTCCATGGATCTATGTGTCTGTTTTTGTGCCAGTACCACACTGTCTTGATGACCACAGCTTTGTAGTACAACTTGAAATCCACCATTGTGATGCCTCCCAGCTCTGGTTTTCTTTTTCAATATTCCCCTGGCTATTCAGGGTCTTTTCTGATTTGACACAAATCTTAAGATGATTTGTTCCAACTCTCTGAAGAAAGTCCATGGTACGGTTGATAGGGATTGCACTGAATGTGTAAATTGCTCTGTGTGGCATTGACATTTTCACAATATTAATTCTTCCATTCCATAAACATGGAATATTTTTCCATCTCTTTGCGTCTTCCTCAATTTCTTTCAGAAGTGTTCTGTAGTTTTTAGGGTATAGATCCTTTACCCCTTTGGTTAGGTTTATTCCTAGGTAATTTATGCTTTTGGGTGCAATTGTAAATGGGATTGACTCCTTAATTTCTCTTTCTTCAGTCTCATTGTTAGTGTATAGAAATGCCACTGACTTCTGGGCACTGATTTTGTATCCTGCCACATTGCCGAATTGCTGTATGAGTTCTAGCAATCTATTCAGGTTTTCTATTTCTTCCTGTTCCAGTTTTGGCAATTTGTGATTTTCCAGAAATGCATCCATTTCTTCTAGATTGCCTAATTTATTGGTGAATAGCTGCTCATAATATATTTTTAAATCGTTTGTATTTCCCTGGTATTGTTTATCTCTCCTCTTTCATTCATGATTTTATTAATTTGAATTTTTTTCTTTTTAATAAGGCTTGCTAATGGTTTATCTATCTTATTAATTTCTTTCAAAGAACCAATTCCTGTTTCAGTTGATGTGTTCTACAGTTCTGGTCTCTGTTTCATTGAGTTCTGCTCGGATCTTTATTATCTTTCTTCTTCTGCTTGGTGTAGGTTTTATTTGGTATTCTTTCTCCAGTTCCTTTAGGTGTGAGGTTAGCTTGTGTATTTGAGTTTTTTCCAATTTTTTGAGGGATGCTTCTATTGCTATGTATTTTCCTCTTAGGACTGCCTTTCCTGTATCCCAAAGATTTTGAACGGTTGTATCTTCCTTTTCATTAGTTTCCATGAATCTTTTTAATTCTTCTCTAATTTTCTGGTTGACCCATTCATCTTTTAGTAGGATGCTCTTTAACCTCCACATGTTTGAGTTTCTTCCAAATTTCTTCTTGTGATTGAGTTCTAGTTTCAAAGCATTGTGGCCTGAGAATATGCAGGGGGCAATCCCAATCGTTTGGTATTGGTTGAGACCTGATTTGTGACCCAGTATGTTGTCTATTCTGGAGAAAGTTCCATGTGCACTTGAGAAGAATGTGTATTCAGTTGCGTTTGGATGGAAAGTTCTGTAAATATCTGTGAGATCCATCTGGTCCAGTGTATCATTTAAAGTCCTTGTTTCTTTGTTGATGTTGTGCTTAGAAAATCTATCATTTGCAGAAAGTGCCGTGTTGAAGTCTCCTACTATTAGTGGAGACTAATATGGAGATATGCCTCCTACATATCTCTTTACTTTGGTTATTAATTGATTGATATACTTGGCAGCTCCCACATTAGGGACATATATATTCATGATTGTTAGGTCTTCTTGTTGGATAGACCCGTTAAGTATGATATAGTGTCCCTCTTCATCTCTTACTACAGTCTTTGGGATAAACTTTAATTTATCTGATATGAGGATTGCTACCCCAGCTTTCTTTTGAGGACCATTTGAATGGTAAATGGTTCTCCACTCCCTCAATTTCAATCTGAAGGTGTCCTTAGGTCTGAAATGAGTCTCTTGTAGACAGAAAATAGATGGGTCTTGTTTTTTAATCCAGGCTGAAACCCTGGGTCTTTCGATGGCGTCATTTAGCCCATTCACATTCAGAGTAACTATTGAAAGATATGAATTTAGTGTCATTGTAACACCTATTCAGTCCCTGTTTTTGTGGATTGTTTCTTTGGACTTCTTCTTTCTTTTACAGGGTCTCCCTTAATATTTCTTGCAGAGCTGGTTTGGTGGTCATATATTCTTTCAGTTTCTGCCTATCTTTGAAGCTCTTTCTCTCTCCTTCTATTCTGAATGAGAACCTTGCTGGATAAAGTATTTTTGGCATCATGTTCTTCTTACTTAGGACCCTGAATATATCCTGCCAGCCCTTTCTGGCCTGCTAGATCTCTGTGGAGAGGTCTGCTGTTAATCTGATATTTCTCCCCATATAAGTTAGGGATCTCTTGTCTCTTGCCGCTTTAAGGATTTTTCTTTATCTTCGGAATTTACAAGTTTCACTATTAAATATTGAGGTGTCGAATGGTTTTTCTTGATTTGGGGGGGACCTCTCTATCTGGATCTGAATGCCTGTTTCCCTCCCCAAATTAGGGAATTTCTCAGCTATGATTTGTTCAAATATGCTTTCTGGCCCTCTCTACCTCTCGGCGTTTTCTGAAACCCCAATTATACATAGATTCTTCCTTCAGAGGCTATCATTTATTTCCCTTAACCTTTCATTATCATCCCTTAATTGTTTTTCTCTTTTTTCCTCAGCTTCCTTTCTTGCCATCAACTTGTCTTTTATGTCTCTCACTCTTTCTCCCACCTCATTAACCCTCATCATTAGGACCTCCAGTTGGGATTGCATCTCATTTAATTGATTTTTAATTTTGGCCTGATTAGGTCTAAATTCTGCAGTCATGAAGTCTCTAGAATCCTTTATAATTTTTTCCAGAACGACCAATAACTTTATAATTGTGCTTCTGAATTGGTTTTCTGATACTGAATTGTAGTCCAAATTCTGTAACTCTGTGGCAGAGAGTACTGTTTCTGCTTGTTTCTTTTGTGGTGAATTCTTCATTCTAGTCATTTTAGTGCAGAGTGGCTGTATGAGCAAGTTGAGTCAAGAATATCAACCACGACCTAAGTAAATTTCACCCTAGAGAATTCTTGCTAGAAGCGAAAACCCTTCTCTCTATAGCATTCCGGCTGTTCTTTCTTTAAATCTCAGGTCGAATTTGTGTATTTTGAAAGTTATCTCAGTAAGTTGGTGGACCAGGTGAGTTGAGGACCCCTACTCTTCCGCCATCTTGCCCCGCCCCCCTTAACTGAGGTTTATAAAAAAGAGTAAGTTAAGTGAGCAGGTGGAAAATTCTTAAAGAAATGAGAAAATATTCAAATTGAAGGATATGAGTTTCCAAACCAAGGGAACTCACCAAATGCCAACTGCATTGAAGTATTAAAAATAAAATACCCTAAAAATAACACTAGGAAGTTTCAGAACTCTAAGGATAAAGAGAAGATACTACATTATCTAAGAGAAGGTACAGTCATATTTACTATTACAATTATTGGATCGACATTTGACTTCTCAGCAATAACAATGATCAAAGACAATGGAGGAGTATTTTACAAGTTCTAAGGGTGGATAGGTAATTAACTCAAAGTTGTGTAACAAGCAAATTATCAATCACATGAAACAACATTGTAAGACCATAGGATAGATTCTGTGGCCTGTTTACCTGACTACCAAAATCACTAGGGAAACTGCTCACTCTTCTAATTCTGCAGCAGAGTTGACTCTACTTGAACCAGGTTGTGCTAATCTGGGTTGGCTGAAAATGATGCAAGGATAATTTATGTTGGCCTAAGTGTATTATGCTTTATAGTAGTTTCATTTTGTGCTGGTCATTTTTTTGTGCTTTATTTAGGTTAGTTCACAGGTTGTTTAGTTAAGAGATTAATGATATGTCCTAGGTTTAAATGAGGTTATGTTTATCACATCCGGACTGTGTACTAGGCTATTTATTCCAATAGACCCATAAAATGTTATGCAGAAAAACTGTTAAACTTCCAAAAGATGTGATATCTCCTTCATTCATTCAAACTTTATGATTCAATATCATCGATGGCTAGTGATGCTTTTTGGCTCTTGGATGATTGTAACAAATTATGGAGAAATGTTATCCTCATCATTTTCCTGAGTTCACACATTTTCCAAAAGTGGTAAAAGACATTAACCCACAGACTCAAAAAGCTTAGGAAAATGCAAACAAGATAAGTACACAAAGAATGTGACACCAAAACACTAATAATAAAACTAATGTAAAACAAATACTAGGATAAAATTTTAAAAACATCCAGGGTGAAGGGGAGATACATTCCTTTCAAAGGACCAGCCATAAAACTGGCATATACCTTTTTAAAAGAAATAATGAAATAAAATGAAATGAATTAAATTAAATCATACCTGTGGCTTTGAAACAGAGTGTACAATTGACAGAACTTGGGTGGAAGATAGGCAAGGAAAAATGAGCAACTAAGAGAGCCTTTTTATGGTGAATGTCACAAAATTAGTTTTACTGCACTGCTGAAGGTTGTAGAAGTAATCAGCAAAAGAACTATATTGGGAAGAAAGGAACTATATTGGGAAGAGGCAAAGTTGAAGGAGATGTAAGTGAACCTGGTCTTCACTGACCATGGCAGAAATTCAGTGGAAACCAGGTAAGGGAGATCAATTAAAAATTTGCCATTTAAGAACAGTTACCTTTGGAGGCAGAACTGAATCAAAGTTTTCATTACTTGATTCTTTTAACCAAGCATGTGCATCAGGATGACTTAACATTTCTAAAAATAGATGAGTACAAAAATACTTCTGAAATGAATTTTTAAAGCATTTCCCCTTGTTGACTATTACTTCTACTTACATTTTTGTTTAACTGACAAAGGAACAATCTTCTCTTCATTCCTTAGAGGATGATCCATGCGCAAAGTCAGATGTTGGAGACCTAGGGACCTTACAGTCTCCAAGGAGATATTGTACATTTTAGTGATAGTCACCGTGCCATTTGGGTTCTGAGCAAAGTATTCTTCTGGTGGATTGATTAAGACTTGTGATGGGAAAAGAGATATTTGAGGAACAGGTTTTCCCACAGCTGAGTAAATAAATGTAAGAAAATCTTCAGAGTCAAGACTGGACTGGAGTTCAGATTTTAATTCAGATACAGCTGGGACAAAAAAGGAGACACAAAATTAAATGTAAAAATATACCATACTAGATTTCTGAGAGATAGACTCCCTCAAATATTTATATGATGACAAAATGTTGAAACATGTCCATTTTCAGATACCTCTTCTCACATTTTTCAAAACTTCACAATTCCATCTCTCATACCTACTATCCTCCAACTTCAGAGAAATGATCCATATCTCCACTTTCATCCAACCTTAAAATTAGCTTATATAAACATCCAATACTTTAAATTTACTGCAATATAATGAGGGGACACTATGACACTATCACTATTCCTTCAACATTTTGTTAATTTGTTAGGAAATTCTTATTCTCTAAGTCTTTCCTCTTTCATTTTCTCTACTCTCCTTTTCTTTTTAAAAAATGTTTTATTTATTTATTTATGAGAGCCACAGAGAGAGAGAGGCAGAGGGAGAAGCAGGCTCCCTACTGGGAGCCATGCTGGACTCCATGCTGGGACTCTGGGATCACACCCTGAACTGAAGGCAGATGCTCAACCACTGAGTCCCCCAGGTGTCCCTCTATTCTTCTTTTCTTTTCCTCTCTTTCCCAGTGAAAATTCTGATACCATTCACAAAATTTATTCACCGGAATAAAATCAGTGTGGTATAAAAAGTTAGATGAGAGGTCAGAAGACCCAAATGTTATACCTGGCCCTTCATTGTGTGAAGACAGAAAAGTTATGTAACTATCACTGGCTTCCTTTTTTTTCCTTCTGTCTAACAAAAGACCTGCCATGGGTGACCTCTATTACTATCTTTCCTTCTCTAATATTCTTTCTCTGGACCTTAACTTTTAAAGACCATATCACCACGATTTTGACTGTACATAAAACATTTACATACCTATAATGTTAAGGCAGATTTGTCCAACATGGCTGCCATGCGGGAACACATTAAATAGGCATTTGTAGCAGGCTTCATCTTCAAATGTTACTTCATGGATAGTTATGAATGAGGAATTGGATTCGATGACCTCACAGTGCAGCCGATCTCTGTATGGTGGGAGAATCTTTTCTCCATGTATACTGCTATATGTGGCAATATTTTGTGGCAAAGAACCTTGAATCTTCTGCCAAGTAACTTGCACAACATCTGCTGAAGTTGTTAAATTGCAGAAGATGGTCACATTTTCTCCAAATACAGCTGTCTCATTATTTTTGTATTTTATTCTGTGCCTAGAATCTGAAAATAAAACCCAGTACGAATTAAGAGAAATGTACTTTCATACTACCCTGGACTTAACCCTACCCTAACTCTTATCTCTCTGTTTTATAATTATCAATTTATTTGTGTCTCTTCCCTACTAGAAAATGAACTTTCCTATATTCTACATCATTGATAAGCAGTTTCTAAAAGTGTCTCTGGCATATACTACCTAATCGATAAATATTCATTGAGTACAAAAATTGAAACATAAATTAACAAACACAAGTAATGGTAATTTTGATGCATTTCTGGAGGCTGAGTATGAATTCACTTGAGGGTGACAAACTCCTCAGGGCTCTAGTCTTAGAGAGGACCTAAAATTCCATAGGTTTCACCAGCATGAACACCTCCAGATTCTCATAGTGAAGAACTGAGAACAATCACCTCATATCTTTGGAAAAAGAAGGGAAACATCATAGTGAAATAAACCCAGGCCATTTTCCATAAAAAGACCTACTCTCCAAGGAAAAGGTCTTACCAGATCCTTATTACGTAGGTAGAAGGACTAAGACCTTACTCTGGTTCCCTTTAAGACAGTGACTCCCTGTCTTATCTAAGGTAGAGAAGGAGGAGAAAAAAGTAAGAAACATGTGAGGGTCACAGCCAAGGGTCATAGGCCCACCAAAAAAGTGAAATATAAACATAAGATTTTAAAATACTTCCCTCTCCAACTTTTCATCACCACATCAATAGAGCTCAAACATAATGATAGTGGCTTACAGCTGAAATGGTTGCAGGGCTCAAACTTTTATTAACTGGAGTTCTTAGGGAAATTCAAAATCAACAGAGGATACCAAAACAAAGAAACTATAGGAATTTGAAATCCTTGATACCTAGGCCTACAGTAAACAGTAAACACAACCCAACTTCTTGCCAGATTACCATAAAACCCAAGCTTAAGCTCTACTTACCTTGGTTCTTATTATCATATCTGGATTTCAACAAAAAAATTATAAAGCCAAGAATAAAAACAGTCTGAAGAGACAAAGGAAGTACCTAAGCCAGACTCAAATATATTACAGAATTTAAAATTATCAGACAGGAAATTAAAATCAGCTATGATTAATACAGCAAAGACTCTGATGGAAAATCAGAGAGACATGCAAGAACTTATGGATAATGTAAGCATAAATATGGAAACTTGAAAAAGAATAAAAAGAATATGCTAAAGACATTACAAGAAAAGAAAACTATAGACCAATATCTCTAATGAACATAGATGCAAAAATCCTAAAAAAAAATTTTAATTTAAAAAACGTATTTAAAAAATATGTCTAGGACGTCTGTGTGGCTCAGTGGTTGAGCATTTGTCTTTGGCTCAGGTCATGATGCTAGGGTCCCAGGATCAAGTGCCACATCAGGCTCCCCAGAGGGCGCCTGCTTCTCCCTCTGCCTCTGTCTCTCCCTCTCTCTCTGTGTGTCTCATGAATAAATAAATAAAATCTTAAAAAATATATATATATGTATATATATATGTACCCCAAAGCTGGTTCAACATTTGAAAATCAACTGATGTGGGACACCTGGATGGCTCAGTGGTTGAGCCATCCATCTGCCTTTGGCTCAGGTTGGGATCTCTGGGTCCTGGAATTGACTCCCACATCGAGCTCCCCACAGGGACCCTGTTTCTTCCTCTGCCTATGTCTCTACCTCTCTCTGTGTGCTCTCATGAATGATTAAATAAAATATTTTTTTAAAAAAGAAAAGAAAATCAACTAACGTAATTACGTTATTAGATTATCACATCAACAGACTAAAATAGAACATATTTGATGATCTCAATAATATTCAAAAAAAGTATTTGATAAAATCCACCACCATAACAAAATTCTTAGTAAACTAGGAATAGAAGGGAACTTCCTTTACCTGATAAAGAGTATCTACACAAACTTATAACTAGCATCATACTCAAATAGTGCAACATTCAAAACTTTCCTACTGAAGATCAGGAATAAGGCAATGATGTCCCTTCTCATCACTCTTTTAAACACCATACTAACACAAACCTCTTCCTAATGTAATAAGGCAAGAAAAGGAAATAAAAAATATGCAGATTAGAAAGGAAAGCATAAAACTGTCTTTGTTCACAGATGATATGATTATGTAGAAAATCAGAAAGAATCAGCAAAAGAAACTTCTAGAAGTAAGGCTGTAGGATTACAAGGTGCTTATACAAAAGTCAATCACTTTCCTATGTATCAGCAATGAACCAATGAAATTTGAAGTTAAAAACAATACAATTTACATAATAGACAGTCCCCAAATGAAATACTTAAGTATAAATCTAACGATACTTATAAGATCTGTATGAAGGAAATTATAAAACTCTGATGAACAAATCAAGGAAGAATTAAATAAATAAGAAATATTCCATGTTCATGGATAGGAAAAGTCAATATTGTCAAGATATCATTCTTCCCAACTTTATTTGTAGATTCAATGCAATCCCAATTAAAATCTTAGCAAGTTATTTATAGATACTGACAAACTGATTCTAAAGTTCGTGTGGAGAAGTAAAAGCTCAGAATAGTCAACATAACATGGAAGGAGAACAGAGTTGAAGGAATGACTCTACTTAACTTCAAAATTTATTATGGAATTACAGTAAAGTCATCAATACAGTGTGGAATTGGCAAAATACTGGACAAATAGATCAATGGAACAGAATAGGGGGTCCAGATATGGATCCACACACATATGATCAACTAATCTTTAACAAAGATACAAATACATTTAATAGAGAAAAGGTAGTCTTTTTGAAAAATGATGCTGTTGAGACAAATGAGTGTGTGATTATTTTCCTAGGGCAATCATAACAAATTACCAAAAACTTCATGGCTTGAAACAATAGGATTTATTTTCTCACAGATCTAGAGGTCAGAAGTCCTAAATCAAGGTGTTTTGGATTCTTTAAATTAAGCCAGGGTTATTTATTCTTTACCTTAGTTTTACCTGCAAAGACCTGATTTCCATATAAGATCACATTCTGAAATTTCAGATAGCAAGAAGGGGGAAAGCACACTATACAACCCACTACAATAGCTATATGATTAAAAAAATGAATATAGCGCCTAAATAACAAAAACTAACTCAGCATGGATTATAAAAAAAATGAAAAACTATAAATCTTAGAAGAAAACATAATACAAAATCTAGGTGACCTTGGCTTTGGTAATGAGTTATTAGATATAATGCCAGAAGTATGATCCATGAATGAAAAAAATTTGATAAGTTGGATTTTATTATAATCAAAGACTTTTGCTTTATGAAAGACAATGTAAAGAGAGTATAAAGACAAGCCATAGACTGCAAGAAAGTATTTGTAAAACACATATCTGATAAAGGACTTTGTCCTAGTCCATTCAGGCTGCTATAATCTAATGCCACAGACTTGGTAGTTCATATATAACAGAAATTTGTTTCTCATAGTTCTGGAGGCTGGAAGTCCAAGATCATGGTGCAAGCAAGGTTGGGAAGGGTTCTTTTCCAGATCATAGAACTCTCATTGTGTCCTCACATGGTGTTAGGAACTAGGAAATTCTGTGGATTTTTTTATAATCTAATCCCATTCATGAGGGTTCACCCTCATGATTTACTTTCCAAACCCCACTTATTTATATCATAATATTGGAGGGTTAAAATTTCAACATATGAATTTTGAGGGGACATAAAGATTCAAGCCATAGAAGGCTTGTATATAAAATATACAGAAAGAAAGAAAGAAAGAAAGAAAGAAAGAAAGAAAGAAAGAAAAAGAAAGAAAGAAAAAGAGAAAGAGAAAGAGGAAAAGAAAGAAAAAAGCAACCTAATTTAAAAATAGGCAAAAAAAATCTGAATGGACACCTCACCAAAGAAGATATATAAATGTCAAATAAGCACATGAATCTCTTACTATTAGAAAATTGCAAATTGAAACAATAATGAGATTCCACTACACACCTATTAGAATGGGAAGAAAAAAACCCAATACTAAATGCATGCCATGCTATTTTGGAAAAGATAAAACTGTAGAGACAGTAAAAGTAAAAGGATCAGTGGTAACCAGGGGTTTGGAGTAGGGAGAAAGGTTGAATAGATGAGACACAGAGGATTTTTAGGGCAATGCAACTATTCTGTATGATACTTTGGTCCTTAGCATATGTCACTTCCATTCAACTTTTGATTGAATTATCTAATTGAATTCACATGATACTTCTTTCAGAAAAAAATCCTTCCCTAAAAGTAATCATGATTTATTTTCTCAACTAAATACCTACACAACATTAATGACTGCCCTTACTATGAACCCAACAGATTTTTTAGACTAATATCTTTAGTCAAATAATTCTAAATGACTAGAAAATATCAGGACTTGAATATTTATTAAATCCTTAATGCCACAGGAGTACCTTAGTTTGTAATGATAAGCAAATTCAGATTTAATAGAACAGATTTAATAACGTAAAAGATTTAATAACGTAAAAATGAAAAATCTCTTAGTTACCAAAACAGGACAAATTCAAACTTAAAAGGCAAATGGCTGCAAGAAATACTTCAAAACTAATTAACTAACTAACTTGCAAAGAGCCCATTTGCTTTCAGCAGGTTTGTGGTCTCTCTAATGTGAGCTCCTGAGGCTCATTTCAGAAGCAAAGCTTACTACTTTTCTTTCATTCTCTGTTTACTAAATCATTGTTTCAAATATGCTCAATTTAACTGTTTTCTAGTTGCCAACAACTTGGATACATACATGACTAACATGCAAGCTCAAACATAATGCTCTGCTCCTGTAACTCTATAAAAGTGAAAAGACCACATCCTGGTATTTATTCATCATTGATTTCCAGCCACAAAGCATTTGCAAGAAAAAGTGAAAAGTTACCTGAACCTTGTACCCCAATGGGAAACATGAGGAGCTGAAGAATGAAATGGAGCAGAAAGCCCATGAAATTTGATGATAAAATCTTCACTAACACATGGAGTGTTTGATTCTCTAACTTGTTAGAGAACTCTAACCTGAGTTCTAAAATTGCTTTTGATTTTTTAAATTTTCACTAATCTCTGTTACTAATTAACCACTTGTGTGGACTGTCGGTTGAAACTTTCCTAATATTAAACAAAGAAACACATGCGAAAAACCCTCTCCTAATCTTGGGACGTTGGATTTCTTTGTTGGAAGGAAGAGTAGCTTTCAGTTCTGTTGTAAACTAGACTCCAATTCTGCTGGAATCTCAGGTCTATGTGTATAATTTTCTTCAACACATATGCCTGCTGTTCTGTAGGTGTCACAGATTCATACACAGGCTCTGAAAACTTAAAACTTGCAAGATAATTTAGGTAGCTCTTTTTTTGAAGGTGTTATTAACTTTTCCCAGTCTTTTATGTCCTGTTATTTATGTACATAATAAAATTCGAACTAGTTTACTCATAATGAGTGAAGTCAAGTTTCACTGCTTTCCATGGAGGTATGCTACATTTTTAAAAATCAATCCTTTCAGCATCTAACTCCCCATGATCATCTTCTCAAACTGGAGTCAGAAATCTAAAAAGTAAGTTTTCTATAAAGTCATTAGTTTCAAATTAAATGCTTTTTATGTATTTTTAAAAAACAGGCCCAGATTACTTTCATCTTTCTACAACTTCTCTTCTGCAAAGTACTTTAAATAGAGGGAAGGCACTCCTTGCTTAGTGGTCATGGTTTGTGTTTTTCTCCTTTAAATTCCCACTTAGCCACTTATTTGCCTTTGGGCATTTTATGTACACAAACTCATACAAGATTCCCCAGAATGTCTTCCTCTTGGTAGGATTGTAGAAAAGCAGTGCTCATTCACTACCAATTCACAGCATAGTTTAACAATGAACTTTCGAAAGTAAGGATTTTTTTTCATCCTGCACTTCTGTTATTGCTGGTTTCATTCATTTCAATGTATTTCTAATTTCCCTTGAGACTTCCTTTTTTTAAACATTTATTTATTTACTTGGGAGAGACAAAAAGAGAGCATGTGAGCAGTGGGGAGGTGGGGTAGAAGGAGAGGGAGAGAAATCCTCAAGTGGACTCTCTGCTGAGTGTGGAGCCAAACATGGGGCTGCATCCCAGGACCCTGAGATCCTGGCCTGAGCTAAAATCAAGAGTTGGATGCTTAACCAAGTGAACCACCGCAGGCACCCCGAGACTTCCTTTTTGACTTGTGGATCATTAAGGTTTTTTTAAAAAAAATGTTTTCTGTGTTTTGGGGGTTCTGTTATTTTTCTATTATTGATTTTTGTTTGATTCTATGTGGTCAAGGAATAGATTGTCTCTTTGTTTATGGTTCAGGATATGGTTCATCTTGGTATATATTCCATAGGTTCTTAAAAAAAACCATGTATTTTGCTGTTGTAAGGTGGTATGTTCTATAAATATTAACTAGATCCTAATGGTTGGTTAATGGTGTTGTTGAATTCTTCTATGTACTTGCTGATTTTCTGTATAGTTGTTCTATCAATTTTTGAGAGTCTCCAACAATAATTGCGGATTTGTTTGTTTCTCCTTTCAGTTCTATCAGTTTTGCTTCAGATACTTGACAGCACTGTTGTTTGGTCAATAAACATTCAGATTTTTATGTCTTTTTAGTATATTGACCATTTTACATTTGTATGCTTTCCCTTTCTGTCTCTGGTAAGGGTTTTTGTTTTTGTTTTGTCTATTCTGAAGCATTTAATATAGCCAATCCTGCTTCCTCTTAATTACTTTGCATGGTATATCTTTTTTCATAATTTTATTCCAACCTACTTATATTTCTATAATTGAAGTGAGTCTTTTGTAGACAGCATATAGCTGGATGATTTTTTTTGTTTTTTAACCCATTCTACCAATCTCGATCCTTTAATTGGTTTTTATAGATCATTTACATTTAATATAATCTATATTTTTCGTTCTTTTTTTAAGATTTTATTTATTTATTCATGAGAGAGAGAGAGAGGCAGGTAGAGACACAGGCAGAGGGAGAAGCAGGCTCCATACAGGGAGCCTAATGTGGGACTTTATCCTGGGTCTCCAGGATCTTGCCCTGGGCTGAAGGTGGTGCTAAACCATTGAGCCACCCGGGCTGCCCTAATATAATCTATATTTTTCAAGCTTAAGTTTGCCATTTTGTTTTTTTTATATTCTGTTTGTTCTCTATGTTTTACTCTATTTGCTTTTCTACCTTCTTGTAGATATTTGAATTCTTTTTATAATTCCATTTTAATTTTTCTATGGTGTTTTTTTTCAAGATTTTAAAATTTGTTTATTCATGAAAGACAAGAAAGAGAGGCAGAGACACAGGGAAAGCAGGCTCCCTGTGGGAACCCTGATGTGGGACTTGATCCCAGGACCCTGGGATCCCGACCTGAGCCAAAGGCAGATGCTCAACTGCTGAACCACCCAGGCATCCCTTCTATGGTTTTTGAGTGTGTCTTCTTTATAGTTTTCTTAATGTTTATTCTAAATATTATATTATGTATGTATGTGTATATATGCATAATGTAATACATAAGCAAGGATATATATGTGTGTACATGTGTGTGTGTACACCTTATCACTGTTCACAGGGGACAATACTTTATCAGTCCTAGGGAAGTATAGATAGCCTACCTCCCTTTACATTCCTTTACCCTCTTCCTATCTTGTTACTGGCAGATCAGGATAGAATCTAAAGTTCTGTACTTAGTCTTCATTGCTACAGATCTGGGGAAATTAAGTATCTATTTATTGCTAAGAAGCAGTAATGGGGTACCCTTCTTCTTAGTGCTCCTGTATGGCCTCCCCTTACCATTTTATAGCCAGGTGGTAAATGTCCAAACTTTCTGTTTGTCCTCCTCTACCATCACCTCTGTGAGGAGGGTAAGGGGTACTTTGTTTGCATGGGAGTGGAGATCCAGGCTCTAATATGGTCTCCACTGATTCACAGGGGCTTGAGGTACCTCTTTACTGGTAAAGTAGGAATAAAAGTTCTAGTTTCCACTAGACTTTTTCTGATGCCACTCTCATTGGTAGGTATCGGAGATGGGGCAGGTTTCTGGCACCTTATAAAGTTTGATATGGGTCAAATCTAGGCTTCCCACCTGCTCTTGTTGGTATGTCTCTTTGTGTGTGAGGGAGGAGATGATTCAAGTTCTCATGTGGAGTTTAGCTGGAGCAAAGCAGCTATTAGTAAACATTTTCTGTCTTGCTAGACTGCCCCTTTCCTGGTCATTTGGCTAAAAAGAACAGGACTTTTCTGAGGTCTTTTAAAACTCTGTGTTATTGGCATTTCCAGGTGTCCAGCTTCTTTAGTACCTAGTCTGAGATACATGAAGCAAGAAGAAAACTCAAGGAACTCATCTCAGTGCAGTTATTCAAGTCTCCAGGTCCCTATCTGGTCTCCCTTCCCTTCATCCTTAAGAGTCTTCTCATGATTGTTTTATATATAATGTACAGGGCTTTTAACTGTACTTACTGGGAGGGATAGGAAAAGTTACAGAGACTCAATCTTCCAGAAATGGAAATCTCACATTATTCAATTTTTAGCAATAGGCAACAAGCTTAAACAGTCACATCATAAACAATTCAAGTGGTCAATATATACATGAAAACATAAGTGTTCAACATTGTCATTCATCAGTTAAGTGAACATTAAATCTATAAATATAATAATACCAAACATCCAATAGAATAATTACCATTTTTAACAAGATTGTCAATACAAAGCATTGACAATATGGGTGAGAGTTTAAATTGGCACAATCAGGGGCACTTGGGTGGCTTAGTTGGTTAAGCATCTACCTTCAGCTCAGGTCATGATTCCAGGATCCTGCATTGGGTCCCTGCTCCACAAGAAGCCTGTTCCTCATTCTGCCTCTGCTTTCCTCTTTCTCTCTTTGTCTATTATGAATAAGGAAATAACAACTTTAAATAAATAAATAAGTTGGCGCACTCATTTTGGCAGTACTACTACAGTTGTATTTTGACCCACTGATTATCTCCTAGATATATACATCCAAGAGAAATGAATTAATATGTGCATCAAAAGACATATACAAAAGTGTAACAGAAGCCTTATGTGTGGTAGCCAAAACTAAAAACAATTTAAATGGCATCAACTCTAGAAAGGATAAGTAAATTATAGTAATCTTCATAAAATTAGATGCTACATAGCAATTAAAAAAGAAAAACTATGTCGTGGATGATCTCATGAAATAATAATGAGTGGAAGAAGTCAGAATACATATTATTTGGTACCATTTATAGGAAATGTAAGAAATAGGTAAAATATTCAAGGGTAATAGAAATCCAAATAAAGATAATTCTGGGAAAGGGATACTGACTGGAAAGAGGTACAGGAAATATTCTGGGTTGTTGAAAATATTCTGTATTTTTCTATAGGCTGTTTTTTCACAGGTTGATATATATGTGAAAATTAATTGAGTTGAAAACCTACTACATGTGTGTACGTGTGTCTGTAAAACTTAATTTAAAAAAGCCTTTAAGGATTTTTTTTCCATTTCACTTTGTAATACATTCTAGTGGTCATACACTGGACATCCTTGGAATCCAAATCATTGAGCTTTTGAGATATTTTTTGTTTTTTAACTACACCTTCCTCAACTCCCTGGTCTTTCTTTCTTTCTTTCTTTCTTTCTTTCTTTCTTTCTTTCTTTCTTTCTTTCTTTCCTTCTTTCTTTCAAGATTTTATTTATTTATTCATGAGAGACACAGAGACAGAGAAAGAGAGAGAGGCAGAGACACAGGCAGAGGGAGAAGCAGGCTCCAAGCAGGGAGCCTGACGTGGGACTCCATCTGGGCCCTCCAGGATCACATCCTGGGCTGAAGGCAGCACTAAACCGCTGAGCCACCTGGGCTGCCCTGCCCTGGTCTTTCTAACTTAATTTCTATTGTATTTACTATTTACTATTTAACTTCCTTAAGAAGAGTCTTCTATCTCTCTATTAAGACCAATGATATTACTCCAATACTCGCTAC